CCAGACGTCTTTATGCTCTCTGCCTAGAGATATTCATGCCATCCTTGTCCTCACATGTCTTTAGAGCAGACTTAGGGACCTGACATCCTTTTCTCAAGACCAAGTAGAGAAAGGGCAAATATTTTCCCCCAAAAGGAAGTTTCAGGAGCAATTTTTAGCTATCTCACCTTTTAAAGCAACCTCTCCCCCTCCGAGGAAACCCCGTGCCTAAGCACTTATGAGTTCTGTGACATGGGATACAAAGCTTTTCCAAAACATAACCACAAAGGACAAATAATATGTAATATGGACAGTGCACGTGTGCATGTGCATATATGTGCGTGTATGTATGTGTCTGTTTAACAAGAAGTCAGTTATGTGGCATACGTTATGCAAATTTATGTCCATTTGGTGAATAAATTCTCATTTTCAGCCTGCCTCTAGCATGGGTTGTAGAGTTCCATATATTAACCCGAAGTTATTATTTATTTGCTAATAAATGGAGTCAATGAAAACCATTTCACATAGGAAAGAAGGGTAGATGGTATGCAGATTATTTGAGAAATCATTTGAAAACTGGTGGCAAATCCTTCTGTATGTTAAGATCATGCAGTGGGATGACCTCACTACCAAGGATTCCATCAAAGCAAGTGGTGCAAGAAGCATTCTGTAAGTGGCCTCTTCCTGCTGGTGGCTTTAATAAAACAGAGCCCATTAAAGGAAAGAAAAGCTGCTTGGTTTAAACTGGATCTTACAGACCTCAGTCTAGTGCAATCATCCAATTGTTTTCTAAAGAATATACATTTGAAATCATGAAGACCGAAAAACTGCTTTTTAAAAGTCACTTGTTCTGAATCTCATGTCAGAGACAGTAAAGGGGGGGATAAAAAACCATACCAAGTCAGTTAACCAGCAATTTTAATTCAAACTCTCCTTTAGTGTTTTCAGAGAATGGCCTTGAAAATGATCCTCATTATTAATAGCATTTATGTTAAATCATATAAACCTATCTTTCAAAACTCAGAGAGATCTAAATTGCATCTCGACAACATGTGCTTATACCCAGGCATTTTCACAACTTACCTCTCAAAACACCTGAGGAAAGAAGGTGATTTCTCAGCCTTCTTGGAACACTGCACTGTACCAAGAAGCCGCAAGCAAAAGCTGAGCCCCGCACCGTGCCCGGGGGTGGGGGGCAGCCTTATCTGGCGTGAGAAGTCACATGTGTTCTATCAGACATGGGCTCCTTTAAGTGTAGCCCCTTGCAAATCAAACACAAATTCATTCTTGTGGTTCTTTCTTGACTAAAAATGACTAAAAATGTTGGATCGTGAGTGTTTCCATTTAGCTCTTTATGGATCTTACAAATCAGTCTGTATTGTTCACAAAATAATGACTTTTCTAAAGACTTTCTGATGCAGGAATGCTATAAAAAGTGGAATCGCCCAAGATGAACAGGATAATGCCCTGTTCCTTAATGGACTCCCACAGGCCCCCTCTACTGGGGCGATGAACTAGGGCAAGAAGTCTTGCGGAAATTTCTGTGGGGCCTCAGCTCGTCCCCTCCCGATTGTCCAAAAGAGGTAGATGTTGTTTTACCCTCATTCCTTGGTGGCACAAACATGACCCCCTGGGGTCACCAGAGTGCAAAACCAGATTCTCTCCCTTTATTCACTGTGTCCCCTTGGACGGGGTATTGAGCCTTCTGAGTCTGTTTTCTCACCTGAATCTGGCAGAAAGGGGTGGGGGAAAGAATCATATACCAGATATTGATTAAACACTACCCATTGCAGACAGAGTCAAGATCTTAAGGGAACAGAAACAGTCTTAATGAGTCTCCTCCCTCAAGGAGCTCGTGATAAAGAAACGAAACCTACAGCTTGCCAGAGAGTAGAATGTGTGAGCCAGTGAGGAGCATTTTAGTTAGGGGACCAGGGAAGACCTTGAAGAGAAGGTGGTTTGTGAAGAAAGACCTGAAGAAGGCGAAGGAACATGTCATGTGGACATGTGGGGGAAGAGCCTCCCAGGCTGAGGTGACAACAGGGCAAAGGCCCTGTGATGGGAGTGGGCCTTTGCAGGAAAAAGAGTATCACCAGAGCAGAGAGCAGGAGGGCAAGTAGGAGGAGATGAGGTCAGAGAGACAATAAAGGGGGCAAGATCATCTAGGAAAAGAGTTAACTAACTATAGCCTAGGGTCATATGTGACCCGCCACCTCTTTTTGTAAATAGTTTTCTCAGAGCCGCAGCCATGCCCTTTGGTTTACACGTCGTCTATGGATGCTTTCAAACTACAACAGCAGAGTTAAGTAGTTGCAACACAGACCATTTAGCCCCACTAGGCCAAAATATTTGCCATCTGGCCCTTTATAGAAAACACAAGTCTCTGGCTTAAACAAATAGGGGTTTATTTTTTTCCAGATGAGTCTAGAGTAGGTAGTGCAAGAGCCCCATGATGTTAATAAGACCCAGATTCTTTTTATCTTTATGGTCGACTAGCCTTAGCATGTGGACATGTTTTATCATGATCTCAAAATAGCTGCCAGTGTTCCAGAAATTACACACGATATCCACATTTGAGACAGAACGGGATATCTGTTCCTTCTACCAGGAAAGCAAAATTTGACTTCACCCCACACCCAGCACATTTTTGCCTATCTCTTCACCCAGAAGTGGGTCATATGGCCCTGCTAGCTTCAAAGGAAGCTGGGAAAGCCATGAAAAGGATCGTCGAGATTGACTTAGACAGTGGCTTTCAGACGTTTTTGACCATAGCCCACAGTGAGAAACACATTTCATATCAGCCTAATGCATGTAACTGAAACATGGATAATGCAAAGAAAAGTTTCATAAGACACAACTTATACTTACTTTGTGTGCTGTAAACTGATATTTTCTCTTCCATTATTTTCTAAATACAAGTCACATCATCTACTGACTTAATTTCGTGACCTACTGTTGGGTTGTTGCAAGTGCCATAGGAAAAATGCAAGTGGTCACTAGGGACTGGCATGGTGCTGGCTCTCCCTCTCTCTCTCAACTTTTTTCCTTTTATTTTTTTTTTAAAGATTTTATTTATTTGGGAGCACAAGAGAGAAACAGAGAACGAGCAAAGGGGAGGAGCAGAGGGGAGGAGCAGAGGGAGAGGGAGAAGCAGATTCCCCACTGAGCAGGGAGCCTGATGCGGGGCTTGATCCCAAGACCCTGAGATCATGACCTGAGCCAAAGGCACATGCATAACAGACTGAGCCACCCAGCCGCCCCAACTTTTTTCCTTTTCTGTTCCTTTCCTTCCTTTCTCTCTTTTTTCCAAAGGAGAAAGTGGATAATGGATTGGCAACTAACAAAATCCACAACACCCACCATAAGTGAGCTGGGGAGCAAATACAGTTTCATTGAAAACTGAAGGAAAAGGTGATCCTCCTTCTGAAGGAACTAAGGACCCTGATGATGGACACTTGTGTTCCGTGTAAAATCCAGGTGGAAATATCCATTCCCTGGGGGTGTTGAGGGGATTGTGTGGGATCCCCGATGTATTGCACTAGCAAAGTGCATGACACACAGTGGGAGTGCAAGACACATTAGGCTGCTTCCTCAAACACAATCATCACTCCAGGCTAGTCCTGGCCCCAGACATAGCATCAACTAGGTAAGAGAGAATGATTCATTCTCAAGTGCTGGAAAGCCCCAGGGAAATTGTATGTTACCCTGGTGCTATGTTTATTTACCCTACCGGGCTTAGAATGAATACTCAGAGGTTAAGGGCTATGTTGAATTTTGCCCAATGTTTCCGAAAAACTTTCAGAAGCACCAGTTACTGGCCTCAGCTTTGATGACCAGAACTTTGGGCTGTGCAGGAGTGGGGGTCGCTGACCACAGGGGAGCCCTGAGCTGGCCAAGGATGGGTCATTCTTCACAGATTCATGCAAAGGCAAAGTTGAAGAATCTCTGGTCATTTTTAGTCCCCTCGCTTTTGCAGGTGGGGAAATTGAGGCAATTGCAACATGGCAAGGTCATGCAGGAAATAGACAGCAGAGCCCAATCTCTTGACCCCAAATCCCCCAGCCCTGACAACAATGATTAGCACAGCCCCTCTCAAGAGGGGGTCAGGGGCCCATAAACTCAAATCCCAGGCTGATTTTACCTGCATTTTTCTAGAAGGTACATACCAGGTTCTAAAATAGCCATCTGTTTCTACAAAGATTAAGAACCACAGATCGAATGACACTAAAATGATTTGTGTTGAGAGTAGGGGAGAAGAGATCCAAAGGTCAGGACGAGGGATGGTGATATAAAACAGAAACTGCAAATGTTTCCATCAGCCCTTTCCCCATCCCCCACCCCACCCCCGCCACCCCCACACCCCAGAAACTAAACTGTCTGAGCTCCCCAAAAGGCCTGTGGGCTTCAGTCCCCTCTGCCTCGGTCGGTGCAGGCAAATCCTCATTCAGCTGGCGGTGACTGGAAGAGAAGTTTATCTCCTCTTTACCATCGGATCCGATTTCTTAAACGCGGTGGAGCTCTGAGAGGCCACGCCAATCAAACAGCAGGACCACACACAGGTGCCCCGTGAGCAAAAGAGATAACGGATAACGTCCTCCCCAGCGCACACTAGTAATTTCGGCGCCCACTCAGCGGCCTTTGTTGGAAGCCCAAGGGTCCTGGCCACCCAAGGGTCCCGGACTCCGCCCACACCCCGAACCCTCCAGGCAGAGTCTGGGCTGCTTCCTTCAAGCGTCTCCGGGCGCCCTCGTCATGGTGCGAGGACACATCTAGGGTCTGACTCCCCAACCATCCCCGCCGCCCCTCGGGCACCACCCGGAGCCCACCCTTCGCGGTGTGCCGGGGGCGGGGCGGGACGGACGGGGCGGCTCCATTGGCCTGCGCGAGACGAGGGGCGGGGAGGAGGCGGGGAGGAGGCGGGGAGGAGGCGGGGAGGGGCGGGGCGGAGAGGGACAGATGGGGCGGGCCATTGGCCAGTGCCGGGCGAGGGGGCGGGGAGGGGCGGGGAGGGGCGGGCCCTACGCGCCAAGCCCCGGGGACCTGAGGCTTTAGGCTCTGCGGACACAGCTCGGGTGCCGGCGAGGGCACAGCATGGGCAGAGGCTTCTGGACTGCGCGATGAGCGGAGGGTGAGTGATGCACAGGCAGGAGTTTGGGGGCGTCCGGGGAGCACCGTCTCCTGTCCCCGAGCCCGAAACCGCCCCCAGCCGTGGACTCTGGAGCTCGGGCACCGGTGCCCCTTGGCTGCCGCGTGCAGAGTTCCCTCCCCCTGCCAGCCTGGCGCAGCCCGGGCCTCAGGCCCGCTGCTGAGAGCGGGCACTGCGCCAGGCACCTTCTCCAGGGGGAAGGCACTTCAAGAGCTCGAACCTGGGCAGAATAGGTGAGAGCGGCCGCAGGCTACACCTTTGCTCACCTTGTCTCTTGTCTTAGGCATTGATCTTAGTTGGGGGGAGAGGCCCAAAGAGGCTCTGACACAACTCTCAGATTTCACAGATGGAAAACCGGCGCCGAGACAATAGCAGAAGGTAGCAGAAGGAGGGGCTTGCCTCACCATGCTATTTATAAAGGATTTGCCTGGTTCCCAGACCTGTGCAAAGGGCGGTAGCACAATATGGCACCTACTTCTCACAGCCCTGATATTTTCATTATCCCCATTATCAGATGAGAAAACTAAGGCTTACAGAGCTATGGAATTGTCCAGTTTCACCCAGTGGTGGAGTCAGGATTTGAACTCAGACTTTGTTGTGCCAGGTCTCATTCATTTTACCCACTGACTTCAGAGTTCACCCTGCCTGCCATCCTGCCCTCCCCCACACCCCCCATGCTCCTGACTCTGATTCTGGAGAGATGCTTCAGAGTTTTGACAACCTGACACAGCCCTGTGGGAGGGAGGGCCCCCTCTCACACACCATCAGTGCAAGGCCAGTGCTGGCCAGTGCTTTCTTAAAACACTGTAAGGAGATCTTTAGTAATCTCACTTCATAAACAAATAAAGTTGCAGCAAATGGGGCTGGGATTCTGGAATTTGAACCCAAGCAGGTTAGACTCCAAAACCACACACTTACACTGGCTGAAGAAACCCTTACTAGCTTCTCTGTAGTTTTAAACTGTTCAGGGGGCAACCAAGCTTTGTTGCCAGTAGCCATGATTTAAAAAAAAAAAAAAAATTGCAGTGAATTGGTAGAACTAACAGGTGAACCTGCTCCCCAGTATAATTCCTGAGCTATGGCCACCAGGGTGGGAGGTGCTAGAGGGAGGAAGGGAGGAAGGAGAGACTGGGGGAGCGAGAGGAGAGGAAGGGGGAGGAGACAAGGGGAAGGGAAAGAAGGGAAGACGATGGAACGCATTAAACTTAGGTCAAAAAATTTCTGTCTGGAAGTTGCAATGGATTGTGTTTCAGCACTTTGTCAGTGGCAAAGTGTATTTTCCGTAGTTCTTGTCATAATTCTCTGTGTGGTGCTGGTGGTTCAAGACTTGACAGTGAAAGTGAGGGTGAGGCCACAGATTAGACAGCCCCTGTGAAAGTGGGAAGGGAGGCCCTGTTTCCACCCTGAGACTCCAATGGGTGGCCTGGAGGTGGAGAACAGAGTGAAGGTCCAGGGCACCCCTGGGTCAGGGTCAGCTGGACAATGCCAGAGAACCAAGGCAGGAGCAGAACTCATCATGTCGCAGTTCAGATCCTGTCAATGCAACGCCTAATAGGGAGACCCTGACTAGGAGGTCTTCCAGAAGGCACTCTGGACGAGGCCCCAGGAGACCTGGGCCCTGGTTTGGAGAGTAAACTCAGCCATATGTCCTTGCTCACAGCCACTCCAGCTGGGAGGACTGCCCTCCTCTTTGAGTCCCACATCCCCATCTCCAGAACCCCGCTATCTCTTCCGACCCCCGTTGCAACCTGTCTTGGGAGCCTCGGCTTATTATGGGTGAGCTCCATGTGAGGCCCATCTTACAGCAGTCAGCGATTCAGCTAATGAGGAACCTGAGGTTCAGAGAGAGAAAGGGACTTGGCCTAAGGTCACACAGCTGACGAATCACAGAGCAGAGCTTTAAACCCAGATCCTTGTGAAGGCTGGGTGGTTATCTGGTCACAGAGTACACTGAAGGAAATATTTTGGAATTGCTTTAAAGTAAATTAAGATCAAATAGGAAGTGGCTGTTCTTCCCAGAGCTTCTTCTCTTATTAAAGGGGAACTTACAGTTTGCTCAGTTTTCTTTTCTGGCTGCCTGACCTCGTTCCCCAGGATGCACTGCTGCGGGAAGGATTAGGAACCTCTTCCGCTTGCCCCGCCTGACTCTGGGGCGGTGGGAGCAGGGAGCTCATGCAGCCCCATAGCTGCAGAGCTGGGAAGAGCCCTGAAGACATTCTGGGCTAGCTGCCCGTACAATCCTGGCTAAACTGAGGCCCAAGGGACAGCACAACATGCTGGAGTCACACACCAGGTGCATGCGGCAGCAAAACCCACACCCAGACTTCTCTCTGGGAGGCCCCTTTGCCTCCTGTCTCTCACTGTGACACGTTTCAGCAGAAGTTCTTAACCTGGGATCTGGGGATCCAGGGGCACACGAATAGGGGCTTCCTGAGGCCCCTGCAGTGGTATACAAATTTGGTGTATGCATACTTGCACACTCATGCACATATGTGCATTTTCCTGGGGAGTGTGTGTTACACTTTCAAGAGATTCCAAAGGGCTCTGTGGCCCAGAAGATTCTGAGCCACACGATGTCTCACAAGAAAGCACCCCCAGCAACTGCACTTGGCCCACAGGCCTGGTGCGGTAGGCAGCAGAGGTGGGGGCAGCCACGGAGAGCCCCCGGTGCAGCCCTGCAGCTGCTGGCTCGGAGGGCTTGCCCCCCCGACTGCCCCCACCCCTGGCCCCAGGCACTCAGGATCTTGGTCATTCGGAGCACCTGTTTGGCCCAAAAAGCATGGCTGAGAGGATTCCTGCTTGCATGGATCCCGACTTCCAGAGGGAAGAGGTGAGCCTGGTTTTGGCAGGTTGGGCCCCTCCGGCCTCTGGTGTGTATGAGAGAGGGAGCAGGAGGGAGCCTCAGGTTGCCGTGCCTTGGAAAGCAAGAGCAGAAACCAGAAATCCTGCCGCAGGGGCCTGGATGAGGCGCTGCCTCCGAGCTAGAGCTGTCTGGAAGATGCGAGCAAGGCCAGCCTGCTCGGATGCAGAGGGCCAAGCTCTTCAGAGGAAGGGCACCAGGGTCAGGGAGGCCTGGGTGCCAGGATGGGCTCAGGGAGACCTGTGGGTGGGAGCCCAGGACGCTGGAGGTGGGGAGGACGCAGCAAAGGCGAGTTGGGGTCCGTGAGTCAGCCCAGGAGAAGGCAGTGGTGGAGGTGGCTGGCGGCCCTGCAGTCACCTCTCCTGCTCTCCCTCAGCCACCATCACCTCCATCTGGACCGTGCACAGTGTCCCCCGGGTCCTCCTTCCTAGCTACCGTGCTGAGGCAGGGAGGGGCGTGGCTGAGCCCAAGGCAGATGGTGACAGAGGGAGGGGGACGGCCGTTGGAACTGGAGAGTGGGGGAAGGACAGCCGTATGGAGGGGCAGGGGCAGCAGCTGCTGAGTCGCTGCCTGCCATCCGCACCCCAACAACTGGCTTTCTCAGCGAACATGTGCTGCTGAGGGGCTGCCTGTGTCCAGCCAGGCCCCCTCTCAGAGGCAGCTGGTACTGGCACCAAGCCCTGCACTAAGGCTCCTGCCATTTGCTGGCTGACAGGTGCCGGAGGGGGGCTGCGGGGGCCTTTAGGGCTCCTTGTTTTCAGTGCCTCCTGCTGCCCAGCCCCCCCTCCCCGGCTGGCCTTCGGAAGTTGTGGTCATGGGCTTCGGGGCAGGGAACTTAGGCTTCTCAGGAATGCCAGGCAGTGGCCCTGCACCTGCCCTCTCTCTCTGAACCTCCTGCCTCCTTCCAATCCAAGCAGCCTGGGTCTGAGGCTCCCAGCTGGGCCCCACCGCTCTGTCCTCCTTTCTTTCCCTTCCCATGTCACTTTATTTACACACTCGATTTTAATCATGCCTAAAGAAGAAAATAAGCATCATAATTTTATAAAGTATTAGAGGTTACCAGATCTCACAGACATCCCCAGAACATTTAAATTTGGATATTGATGCATTTGCCATTTTGCCAAGTGAGGACAATGACCATCTATTTTCGCCATCATTGTATGAAAAGAGAGGGCATTGTAAGAGGAAAAAGTAGGCAGCACAGAGTCCGGAAAGAAAGGCTTTCAAATGCACTCAGTTTGGCTTCATGAATACCCCACCCCCTTAGCCTTTTTCTCCTTTGCCCCTGGCCAGCAGGATTGGGCTGCGGTGGTGACCCGAGGAGCCACAAAGCTGCCTTCTTCCGTGATAACCGGCTCCATGACCACAAACAAGGTCAATATGGGCCAAGCCTCGCAGTTGTAAAGGCTTCAGTGTCCTTTGTCCCAAATCAAAGGCCAGGGACAATGGCCAAGGCAGGCTGTGGTGCTGGCTGTCCTTAGCAGCCCCCTGCACGGCTGGCCGAGCAGCCGCTGAAGTGGAAAGCAAGAACAGTTCACTGCCTGTTCACTGGGGACAGGTAACCGTGGCTGGCACGTCGCCCTGGGGCCACTTGTCTGGGGACAAGGAGCCCTGGCTGCAGTCTGAGTCCTCTAGTTGGGAACAGAGCCTCCTCCAGCCCTGGGAGAAAACACGGAGGCCTGAGCTGTGTGCCCGGGGGCTGGGGGAGGGGAGCAGGCTGGGACAAAGAGGGCTGGCCTCCCAGAGCCGCAGGGCTTGGCCTGCCCAGCTGCATCTGTCACTCTGGTTTTTGGACTGCGCCTGGGTGGCAGGCCGGCTCCAGCGCATGCTCTCCCCCACTCCAGCTTCAACCAAAGTAGCCTTGCTTTAATCTATTTGTGCATTGGGCTTCTGCCTTTACAAATAAGATTGTCTGTTTTATTAAAGGTTGAAAAGCATTCCATTAGAGATTGTCCAAGGCCCTGTCCAGTGCACAGGGAGAGTGAATGTTTAGGGAGTTTCAGAAGCACGTTCTGAACAGAGGGATCTCTGTTTGCTTTCTTCCTGGGGGGTTCCTCCTCTCTCTCTCTCTCTCTCTCTCTCTCTCTCTCTGTCCCTCCCTCCCTTTCTCTCTCCCTGCCTTGCAGCTCTCTCATTCAGCAGTTCTCTCTAGGGTGCCCCTGCGTCACACGTGTACCTCACTTTAGAACTCTACGAGACACAGGGATTATCAAAATGGGTGAAAAGCATCTCAAGTTCAGTCTGCTAAAGGAGGCACAAATGCACAGTGTTCAGATTTGGAGTGGAAGTCTGTGAGTGACCCCCAAGTTTAGCTCTGGATCTCAGGGAGGTGGAGATGTTGTCTACTTGGGGGGGAAGGGTGGACATGTGAGAATCAGAGAGACAGATGATGAATGTCAGAAGACACAGAAATGTGTGATTCTCTCAAAGAAGAGACTGTTTTTCCAGGGGGCCAAGGTTCCTACCCCATAAGGCTCAGACCCAGCCCAACAAGTTGGAAGAGATCCCCTTGGCTGAAGTGTCCCCTTCGTTGCCTCCCCGAAGCCTTGCTCACTCATCTTCTGCACTCCCCCGGGATGGCATGCCCCATTCTCCATCTCTGCCAAGCTAAGCTATTTACCCTCTGGGTCACCTTCCTCTTTCTCCTTTCACTTGCCCATCTATAATCCAAGACCATTCTTTTTTTTAAATTTTTTTAAATTAACATATAATGTACTATTTGTTTCAGGGGTACAGGCCCATGATTCATCAATCTTATATAATTCACAGCGCTCACCATAGCACATACCCTCCCGCATGTCCATCACCCAGCCACCCCATTCTTCACTTTCCTCCTGACTCCTTCCCCCAACTGATGCCACCCATCTCCAGCTGGAGCTGCTCAGCATGTTGGTCACATCCTTCTAAAGAGCAGATTCTGGACACTGAAGCTCTCTGGAAAGCCAATGCAGGGAATGTGTTACTTAGTACTGCGCTTTGCAAATAGTATTATCCAGAGTCCTAGGCAAAACCCTGGATGGGATTCCCCAACACCCACCTCACTGTCAACCAAGCAGCCCCCTTTAATCTGATTTGCATAAATATTCCATTTGAACAGAGAGTTCTACAGTTGAGAAAATTGGAGATCAATATTCCCATTGCACAGATGGGAAAATGAAGGCACAGAGAGGCTAAGGCAGGCAACTGAAGCCATGAGGGTCTTTAGCAGCTCCTGGCCCAGAGCTCTTTAGAAAGCATATTAATAACTAATCACTGCATGACTTACAGAGGTTCCACTTATAAGTATTCCTACTAAACAGAGCAAAATGGGCATATTCCCCACATGGTGTGGGAGAATCAAAGTATTGTAAACTGGGTCCTGTGGTGAATCAGAAGTCACACACTGGAGCCCCACCAAGGTCACCTGTCTTGCAAGTGTGCTTTGTCTGGTTACATTTTATTTTTAACTATATATTTTTTAACTGAATAATTTCCTGCATTAGTCAGGATAGTCTAGGTCATGCTGCAGTAACAAATCCCTGAGACACCAGCAGCTTTTCCCAGCAGAGCATTATTTCTCTTCCCAGTCCATATCCAGAGTGGGTTGGCCGAGGACTGCTCCACAGAGGCACTCGGGGACCCAGGCTGACCATCTGGAAGCGGCACCAATTGGCACATGCAGCTTTCTGGGTCACCATGGCAGAGACCAGGGTCACACACGGCTCGAAAGCACTAGCCTGAGAGTGACACACAACCCTTCTTGCGTGTGACATGTGAGGTGTTAGGCACATGGCCCCACGGGGGCCTGGAGGAATCTGAGCTAGCACAGGTCAATGTCTCAGCCACAGTGTCCACCTTTAAACAGTGAAATGTAGCCCATACAAATCCAGATGTCTGGCTTCTCATGACACTCCAGAAGAGCTGACCCTCCAGAGAAGGAATGTGTCCGCCAAGTCCCCATGGACTCCACTGACCAGTATCTCAGCGGAGTCACTTCCCTGACCCTGGAGACATTTACATGTTTTATTCCAGCTGGATATGCACAACTCTTGGAAAACTGACTTTGGAGGACCCCGTGAGGCTTCTCAAATTCATCCACTAATTTAACAGCCATCTATGTGCCTCCTGCTATTTGTCAGGCTCAGGTTTGGGGCTGGAAATGGGGTGAGCCAGAAAAGTACTGTCCCTGGTGTGGAGGCCTGCAGCTTCAACCTCACCTCCCACTCCCTGCCCCCCCCCCCGCCCAGCCTCTGATCAGCTCCCTCACACACGGGCCAGGCCCTGCAGACCCAGCACAGCCAGGAGCCCAGAGCAGGTGCTGGACTGGAAGGGAGCCTCTCCTGATACAGGAGAAGGTGGCTCTTCTGGCAAGGGTGTCCTGGGGAGCTCGCAGCCGAGCATAGGACAAGGAGGAGGCTGTTTTCTGGACAGCACCATGAAGACCCAGAAGGAGGACAAAGCGGAAAGCCTGTTAGGAGAAATGAGAGCAGCTCAGGGAGGCTAGAGCTCCTGGCAGGGAGTGAGGAGGGGTGGGAAAGAAGCTGGCTACAGAGGAGACAAGGGGAAAAACCACCTGCTGTTACTTCTGGGCAAATCCAGCCCTTCCCACGATGAGCCTGCATAAAGCGAGACACAGTAGTGACATGAGCCCACAGAAGCAGCAGAGAGTGAGAAACCCAGATACTTTTCTTGGGCTGAAGCCAGCTCTGCATGGAAGTATTTGAGGAACTGCCCAGAGAGGGAGCCTGGCAGATCACTTTTTCCACTGGAGCCTCAGGACCTGAGGAACTGAAACCCGATTTTGAAATCCTGTTGCCCAAGAGCAAGGCCCCCGCTCCAGGCCCCCATGGTGCCTAACCCTGTGCCCTCTGGAGGTAGGACCTCACTGTGGCTACAGCAGGGGGCCTAACCTCTCTCTAGGCCACGTTTTGCCTCAGTCTAGACCCAGGCAGAGTGGAAGTGTTTATAGGATGATTCTGAGGTCACTGAGAAGCCCACCTCCCTCAGTTTGTTCCCGTTCTCTCTGTTTCCCTGCTTCCAGAATCAAATGGTGGTTCAAGCCTGATGCTATCATGGAAGGCAGGCTTGTCTTGTTTGTGGATGGCGGGAAGACAGGGTGTACAGCTGGTCAGAGTCAGGGCCCAAGGGGATGGAGTGCTCTGAGGACATTAATACAACAGCAGTCGAACCTGACCGTGAACCCCCAGGAACATGTGTGCGCGCGTGTGAGCGCACGCACACACACACACACGCGCGTGGGGAAGACCTGACTGAGCCAGGTTTGTAAGAACAGACGTTGGGGTTTTGTGAAGGAGCCACTCTGCAATGCGAAGGACAAGCTGTGCACCCTTTCTGGGCCATTTCCCAGCGTGACTTAACCCCTCAGAGTGCTAGTGGCAACTTGAGAGAAGAGAAGGAGGGACAGGGCCAAGACGGGGGGCAGCGGAGAGAAGCTGTGGCTCACTGCCCAACACACGGCATGCCTCAAGAAGGGAGTTCTTGGCCAGAGTAAGTTGGAGAGGGAGAAAGTTGAAATCTGTGCAGAAGATGGCAACAAGCTAGAGAAAGCACCAGTGGATTTCCCCAGGAGGGTTTGAGAAGCTCCACAAAGCTTTCCAGGCTGTGAAGACACAGTCTCGTGTGTGAATCAACTAACAGTCCTATAGGGCAGAGGTCACCCCACTGCATAGATGAGAAAAAGAAGGCTGGAGGGTTTAAGTCACTGTGCAAGATTAATACAGGGAAGGGGTTAAGAGACCAGAATCTAGGATCTAAATGCTTGTGTTCAAGTAGTGACTTTACCACTGATTCGCTGGGAATCTTGGGCAAAGTACTCAACTTCTGACTCTGTTTTCTCATCCATAAAATGGGAATAGGATAATACTTACCTCATACTATTGTTGTAAGGAGTAAATAAGATAATTCGTAGAAAATGCTCAACACAGTCTCCCGAATGTGGTGACCACAGTACCGAGTAACCCATCACCAGGAGAGCTGGCCCTGGTGTGCCGATTCCAAAGGCAGTAATGGGGCCACCAGCCTGGGCTTGGTAGGAATGGAGGAGAAAGGCCCAGGGTGCTTTGGGGGTTTGGAGGAGCAATGGAGGCGGAAACCATCCTTCAGGATGTCCCAGCTGAGGGAAGAGAGCCTGTGGTCTGAAGCATCTATGAGACTGATCCAGATTCTTAGGGATTATGGAGAGATTCTGGGAGGGGGGCTGATAGAGCTGGTACTGGGTGCCAGCTAGCTCCGCAGTTCTGACCTTGCCCCCCACCTACCAGGGGAGCTTGGCTGCCCTGGGTGGGTGTGGGGCCCCATTAAGTCCTCTGAGCCTGATCCTTCAGCTGTGGCCGCCCTGTGCCAAGGAGTGGAGGGAGGAGGGGTGCGGGCGGGATGGGAGGTGGAAGGTGAGCCTGAAGCCACAGGCTGGCACACCAGGGCTCTGGACACTGCACTGGCCAGCGCTTCTCCAGGCTCACCTGTCTGTGCTTCCTCCTCTTCCCAGCAGGTAACTTCCGAGTCTGCAGACAAGAGGGGAAGATGAAGGAAGACTGTCCGCCCAGTTCTCACGTCCCCATCAGCGACAGCAAGTCCATCCTGAAGTAAGGCTTTGCGTACAGGGAGGGGATCTTCTGTGGCCACACCTTGCCATGGACAGACTTTGGGTGGAGGGAGTCGGGGCACCTTTCATAGAGATGATGATGTGCCTGCTCCAGGGACAGTGATGGGGGCACTTCTTTTTGAAGCCTGTGTCCTTTGAGATCAAGGATCTCTTTGGGGTGTGGGTTTGACCCCTGCCTCCTCAGGCCCACAAAGGCAGGAAAGCATGGCAATGTCCGCCGTGACTCTGCACAGATGGCATTTAATTGAGTCAAAAACTAGAGCAATTCTAACATTCTTGTCATGTTAAACAGTTCAGGGGGGAAAAAGAAAAAAAAAACTCAAAATAGGTTTGGAGTTTTTACTGAAAAAAGTGCATTTTATTGACACAATAATTTTTAGCTCTGCTTATTTTTAATTTTATTTACTATCTGTCTTACCATAAAAAAATGTTTAGAATAGTTTTTCAAATTTATTTCCCAACTAAAGAAAAGTGTATTTTTTATGTTATCTTGCTTTTTGAGTCCTGAGTCCAAATCTTTTCTAAATTTGGGCAGCTCCTATCTGCCACGTTGAAGAGAAGCCAGCCTCCTAGCTTTTGCTGACCTCCTTCCTGGGTTCCCCTCTCAGAGACCTGAGAAAACAGACAGCACTCCATGCACAGTGCTGCCCACACCATCATTTTCCTGGTTTAAATTTTATAATGAGAATCATATTAAATGCAACTTTGGGAAACGTCATAATCAGAACCATAACATGACTGATTTCATGTATAGGTGTCCTACCAAGTTTATGTTCAGCATTTACATACTTACAGACATGGTGAACCTGAAACATTGACTCTTGCTGTGTTAATGGCGTCCCATTCACTGAATCACAAGTGCTTCACTTGCCCTGTCAGGTACCATCACCCCCACATCGGGAAGCACACCCGAGCACCAGCAGCAGGTGTTGCTCGTCCATACCCTGGGGGACTCCAGTGTCAGCGAAGGCACTGCCTGAAGAGATTCTAGAGCAGGACCGTCCGGTAGGGGAACCATGAGCCTCGGTGGCTGCCAAGCGCATGACTTACAGCTGGAGAGGAGTAGTGAATATAAAAGACAAGTAGCAAACACTCATTACAAAATAAAATAATGAACAAGATCTCGTTAGTAGTTTTTATACTGATTCCATGTGGACATGATAAAATTTTAGATACATTGTGCCATAAAACAAAATGTATTATGAAAACTAATTTCCCCTGTTTTTTCTTTGTAATATGACTACTAGAAGATTTAAAATTACATGTGTGGCTCGCATTTCTTATGTACGGGACCACATGCCCCTGCAGAGCCCCGCTGGGGTGCAGGGACTCTCTTCTCTCTGCCACGGCCTCCCTTTATTCCGGGGAGAAGGCGTTTTGGGCACAGACCTTCAGGATCTTCTCTCACAGCTGTCAACTTCATCTCATGATCATACCTCCATAAAGGCAGGACGAGGAAGAAGCACCCCTCATGGTGCCCCCACAGCAGCCCACCAGGCCCTTATAGGAAGTAATATGGGGGAGAAAAGCAAGAGTCTTTAAAAGGCTAATGATCTAATCTCAGGGAATTTATTGAGGAAGTGACTCAGAAGTAAAGTACAGGGAGGTTGTCAGGACCTCTGATCTGTGATAGTGAAAGTGTGCGCACACAATTTGCACAATTACTTGGGCCGTCTGTGAGTTTCTCCTCGTCCTCTTCCCACCCCTACACCTTCCACAAGGGCTGACATGTGAAACCTCTAGAAGACTGAAATGCATGTGTCTGATGGCAGAGTCTAGTCTCTAAACTGATTGTGTGTGGCTGGCAAGACATCTGTCATTATGTCCCAAAGCCCTGCCACGCCCCAAGGTTATTATGTGTGTCTTTACCTTTTTAGGTCAGAGCTCTTAAGCTTGCTAAAAACTTACAACTGCTACCATGAGGGCAGAAGCTTTCAGCTGAGACACCGAGAGGTAAGGCCTGTTTCTCTTCTTTATTCATAGGCCACCATCCATCCTGGTTTGCTGAAGACAGTCCTGGTTTATACCTGTTACTCCAGGGCCATTGTTAAGACCATTGCCTTCACTCTCAGAAGTGTCCCAGTTTGGATAATGAATTATGAGGTCGCCCATCTTCTGAGTTAGAGACCAGGTTACCAGCAGCCAGGCCATCTCCTGGGAGGTCCTGTAAGGGGTGCTGAGGGTCAGAGCATTCCCCCACACACACACAGACCCAGCAAGAGTTCAGAGCAGGTAGAAATAATCGCCTGTGGGTCTCCTCCTTCCACCTGGGACTTTTGCCTAGATCAACTGCCAGGACACTGGAATTTGAAATCTTCGAGACTCCACAGCCCAGTCCCTTCTCTGCCCATCCCACAGCACAAATAAGGAACTCAACACGGGGCTCTGGTTTGCCCAAGGTCACAGGGCAATCGAGAAGTGAAAGAAGTCTCCGTGTTTGTCAGTCAGAATAAACATCAGAGGAAAGCTTTGAAATGGAGGAGAGTTCCCCAAAGGATGCTCGCAGGGCCAGGCAGCTCAGAATGGGAGAGGCAGGGCAGGCTTGGGGGGTGGAGGACGCCGGAGAGCACATCCCATCAGGAGACGCTGCTGTGCAGGAACGTGGGCTCCAGACAGCCAGATTCTTCCTAATTTTTCAAAAGAAGTTAGATATCCAGAATTTCATGTGGAATTTCCCAAACCTCAAAACACCATGCTGGCTAAACAAAACACGTCCGTGGGTGCAACACAGCCCAGGCCTGGCTATTGTCACGCGGCTCGGGAGCCTGGGTGTGGGAGGCAAGCTGCTGGCCCGTGGTCCAGGCAGCACTGGGCCTGGGAGGGCACACGCCTCCCACGCCACCTCCCCTGGGCCCGCTCAGCCTGCACAGGGCCTCGGTCCCCGCCCCCTCTGCCCGGCCCCGCTCTTCGTTCCGCAGAGCAGCTCTCTGACACCTCTCCCACCAGCCCGCCGCAGCCCTGCTCCCCCCGGGGCTCTGATGCCACCCCCCTGCTATCTCCGGTTTTGCTGCTTCTTTCCTTACCTGAGTGCCCGGCTGGTTTCGGGCACTGGGCCAGGCACAGCGCGCCAACCCACCGTAGGTGTTGGGTGACTAACCAGCAGGCACAGGCCCGGGGCAAGCGGAGATGGGTCCTGAGCACTGGACAGTTTTGGTCTACGCTAAGTGCAGAGTTGGACCCACCTCAGTCGTTGTGCGGGAGGCGTGCGCTGGGGTCTTCTGGCTGGGCCCCGTTCCTCAGCCCTGGGCCGTTCGGTGATTGATTGCAGACTCGGCAGCTCTCAACCTGTGGTCTGTGCCCCGGCAGCCTCAAGGTCACCTGGGACTGGTGAGAAATGCAAATTCTTGTCACCCTCCTGCCCCCAGGTCTGCTGAATCAGAAACTCCTTATGTTCCATCTGTGTTTTAACAAGCCCTCCAGGAGATTGTGATGAAGGTCAAGTTTGGAGAACTGCTACTCTAAGAGCTTGGCCTTGGCCCTTGGGATTCCCCAAGACAATCCCCTCTGTTGGAACAGTCGTGTGGGGCGTAGGGCTGGGAAGCCTCAAACCTATGCCCTGTGTTTGTGTGTGACAGGAGAGTCCATGTGGAAAAGTGAGAGACCCCAAGAAGGGGAAGAGGTGTTCCTGACAGCCCCTGTGGTGAGAAGTTAACACCCCACAGACGGGGGTTTTCCTGTTCCTAACCTTAAAGAGGGATAAGGATCCGACTTGATCCCCCTGGAGCCAGAAAGTACCTTTCAGGAACCTTCCTCAGCCCGAACAGCCAAGGGGCACCAGGCTGAGGGAGTATGCGTCCTCGGGGGGTGACCGCCACCACAAAAGGACGTAGGCCTGGGCAGCACAGAGTTCTGACACTAAAACGCATGACTGATTCCTGGACACTGAGTGCCTCCGTGACCCACCCACCAGCCTGTGTTCAGGCCTCTGTGCTTTCTCAGAACGCAGACCCGGGACCTCCTGGGCCCCGGGGACTCACAGTTCAGGCACCTGCCGCAGGGCCAGCCCCAGGCTGGCCTCTCCTCAGGCACTGCGGGCCCTGAGGGCAGGGAACATAGGCACCAGGCACCAGGCACTTCACCCCTGTGTTCTTCACTGTAATGCAAGAGCTGTGTGACATGGGAATGGCCATTTGCCAGACAAAGAGATTGAGGCTTTCAGAGCTTAGGGCTCTCCTGCAAGGTAACTCTGCAGTAAGTGGAAGATGCCAGCGTGGCTCCAAGGCCCAAGCACAAAAGTTTGTAAGACAGAGACCCCAGTGCCAGCATTAAGCTTTGACCAGCCTCAGAGACGCAGGGAGCTGTTTGTCACCTCCGGTCACCAAGCTAAGGAGCCGTCCAGCTGCAGAGGGGCTCAGCACCGGCTGTGCCCTCGCAGAGCCACGTGGGGCTCCAGAAGAGACCCCGCTCCCTGCTGTCACTAGGCCTCCCCCCGAGCGACCATGGCCTGACTGCTGCAGTTTGGGGACACCTCCTCCTCCACGGTCCCTTCCGGGATCCATAGAACGTGGGACGATGAAGTGTGTCAGGGAGCAGGGCCATGCCCCGGGGCAAGTGTTTCCCGGCGAATTCTCCCCCAGCTCCCGAAGGACGAAGGGCGAGGGATTTCCCACACTAGCTTCCTCTGTCGGAGGAGGCCCAGGCACTGGCCTCCTCTATCGTAAACTCTGCCTTGTGCTTATATTACAAAGGAGAGCACGAGCAACCTGGAGCAATCTGTGCCTTTTGAAGATAGCAAATCATTTTAACCAGGCTGTTTGGTTGCTAGAGAGAAAAACGGACCACCCAGAAACACCGGTGGGTAAATACGTCCCTGCGATGAGAAGTAGGGCCCTCCTGCTGTGCACCAGCGTGTGGCCCGCTAGGGGAGCCGGCCTCTCGTGCTCCCCCTGGTGGCCGTGAGCCCGCATCACACCCAGTCCCCATCCTTGGTCCCAGGCTCCTGCGCAGAGTAAGGGAAGGAGCATCCCCTCTCTCAGGGTCTCTGCCTCTCCCAGGGTGGAGAAAGTCAGGAATCCCCTTCCCTCTTACAGTGATCCTCCTTCTTTTAACGCCTGGAGGCAAGATGACGGGCAGTTGACAGACCGCTGGCACTCGGGTGTACTCGGCTGTGGACATGTTCCCTTGAGAGCTCCCAAGTGCTTCCCAGGCTGCCCCCTGGTCAGGGCACTGCATCCTTTCCCTACTCCAGGGGCGAGTGAGGAGGAGACTGCTCTATAGGACCCCTGTCACGGGGACTTTCTGCTAGGCTGTTCTGTCCCGTGGGAAGCTTGGAATAATGACAGAAGCCCCTTCCCCCTGCTCTTTATTAATTTTTTTTTCTTTTTTGGGGGGGGCATTTCCTGAAGGTGCCATTAGCTTCTTTCACATCAGGGGAGATGAGCAAAGGAGCCCAGAGCCCTGTCTGACCTCCCAAACGCAGCCGTGTGGCTTTTGAGCTTGCCGGGGCGTGGTGGGGGGGGGGGCGGGGGGGATTGGCCAACCTCATCCTAGTTACCTCCTTCTGACCCAATTTCACACAGCTTCGCAGAGGGGTACAGTGAGGCAAGCCCAGCCCAGTCACTGGCCAGCACCCCCTCCCAAATCAGCACTCCCCGCCGCCTCCTAAGGGTGTTCTGGCTAAAGGCTGCTCCGCACTTATTTGCCAGCAAAGGTCAGGGACGGGCAGGTTTGAGCAGGCCAGAGACACAGTGGGTTGTGACGGATGCAGGCACTCCTCTGAGGTGTTTCTACTCCATCTCCAAGGGCATGTGCCCCATTCCTCAACCCCTGCAGGCTGTGAAGGGCAAGGGTGGTGTCCCCATTTTACAGATAAGGAGACTGAGTAAATTACTTGTCTGACACTTTTAAATGTATGGCTTACATTCTGCCTTCCCACAAAACACACATAAAAGGGGGCCAATGAACATTTTTTTTAAAGTGCAAAGCAGTTTTAAAATAGAAAAAAAAAGGAAAGGAAGAAGAAAGGAAGAAAATATTTGGGTAGCCCTCAGAGCAAGGAGATGGAGGAAACTGAAGTTGGCTGTGAGCTTGACTGTGGCCCCAGCTCTGTCCTCCTCCTCTCCCCTCTGTCCCTTCCGCCCTGACCAGGGTTGGCCAGCTCTGACCTGGCCTGAGGGAACAGGGTGATGGGTCCTCAGGCCCGATTCTTCTGAGTTCTCCGATGTCTCACCCACCTCTCTGAGGAAGAAGACCCTCCCTCGCCCCTATTCCTCACCTTCATCTCCCTCCCTGTCAGATGGCTTCCGGCGCTGGGCTTGGAGGAGCCAGGGCTGGCCCAGACCTTAGGACCTGGGGAGGGAGGCCCTGGCCACTGGACTTGGCTGAGAGCAGGGCAGCTGACCAATAGCCTGCACTTTGCCCCACAGCCGAGAAGCCCCCTGGTGTGGAGGGAGGGATGGGGATGGTGGGGACAGGGCCACCAGGCCCGGTGGTTTGGCACCCTGCCTGCTGAGCTGGTCTGGGGTCTGTCCTGACCCTCAGCATGGGCAAAACTCTGCCAATGACACAACAGGACTTGAGAGCTGGAGCCACAGAGATACCCCAGGTGACCCAGTGACAGGTTCTCCCCACACTCAGCAGGTACATTTGGGGAAACCGTATGTTTCCTCTTGGGCTACATGGAGCCCGGGCTCTGGGGGTGGGGCCAGGAGGCTGACCTGGGAGGGCGCAGGCCTCCCTCTGAAATCCCTGTATGGCTGAGAGCTTCGCTTCTCATCCACCACCGACCTCGCATCCCTGCCTGTGAAGCAGTCACATAGACGTGGGTATAAGCCTGCATGCGGGCTTGTAACATGCGCCCCTTGATGCACGCGAACATTCACTCATCAGAACAGCCTAGAAAGCAGGTCCCTTTAATTACCCCCATTTTACCCACGAGAAAACCAACAAACAGAAATGTTAAGTAACTTGCCCAAGGTGCTCAGCCAGTGAGGAACAGTGCAAGCAGGATCAGTAACACCACATGAGGCCAGATAGGCTTCAGGGGGCGGGGGGCGGGCCTCGCTATGAAATGCCCAGGCAGGCAGCCCCTGCAGAAAGGTGTTTCCCTTTTGGAGACCTGCCAGGGACAGTGCCCACCCCAGGGGAGGAGGGTAGGGAGGTGACACAGACCAGCATACTCTGTAGAGAAGCCTTTATTGGGGAGGGGTTAGAGTTCATGGATCACTGGAAGGTGCAAATAGAGAGTTCTGAGGGTGCTGCTGGGGCGGGGTGCTAGGGGGGAGGCCGCAGCCCCACAGAGTTGCCTGGAAGCCCCGGAGCCCTGGTGCCAGTCCCTTGAGGGTCTCACTGGAGAGTGTCCCTGAACCCTGGCATCCCAGAGTCTCCCTCTGGGGGTCCCTCGGGCCTTGCCACTGTCCATCTGTCTGTGTAGACCCCAGGAGTCAGCAGAGAAGCTAGTCCTCCTTGGCGGGTCCCTCCTACTCGGCCGCTTTTCCTGGGACTCCCCAAAGAGCCAGTCCAGGGGGTCAGCAGTGCCGTCCCCGGGCGGTGCTGGCTGCTGACCACTGAAGCGGGTAGTAATGTCCCGTAGGGACTCAGTAGGGCAGCTCTTCTGGAAGGTCCGGGCTGGCCGAGGGCTTCTGCTGGGCTGGGCCCTGGCTGTGGCCACGTCCAGCACTGAAGTGGGCTGGGCCAGCTGACAAATGGACTTCACGTAGTCATTCAGGCTGGGGGAGGCCAGGGGCTCCTGCCCGGGCCCCCCGGGCAGCATCTCCTCCAGGGTCTCCCGAATCGTGGGCAGGTGGGCCACGGGAAGCAGTAGCCGGGACCTCATGGCCATTGGCGATGCGGGGCGGAGACCTGTTGATCGACAGAGGACCAGGGTTGAGGGTCTGCCATTCTGTCACCCCTCTGTGTCCCCTCTGTCAGCTGAGGCTGCCCAGGGGATTCACAGGCCTGAGAGTGGAGTGAAGTCTGCAGACCCAAGCCCGGGCTCGGACTCCCGGACTCTTCCTTCCTGCTAACGCTAAAAGCCTCGTGCTCAAGAATCTATCCTTACTGTTGTTGAAGAACCCGCACAAATCAGACAACCCGGCCTAATGGGCTGGAGTCAGAGGGAACATGGGTGTAAAACCAGCCTCTGCTGCTTCCTGACCTGGAGACCGTTGGCAAGGTCACCTCTCCAAGCCTCCCCTGACCCATCCATAAAACAGGGTTATAAGTACCTGCTGGAAAGGGTGCTGTAAGAAAAGCATGGAATGAAATCCCTCTACGAATGCGAAGCCCTCAGCGGCTACTATCCCTGCCATCGACTGCATGCCCTGGTCTCTAACCCGCAGTGAGGCCCTGTTCATCCTCAAAGATAAAACCTTTCTGTCCCATCTCTAACCAGAGGGAAGCTGCTCTCCCTTACCTGTAGCTGAGGGAACCCGGGGATCACAGGGCTGCCAGATGAGCAAGGACAGTCCTTGGGAAGGCCCAGGGAGCTCGGGGCCGAGGGTTGGGGGCCCCGCAGTCAGAGCACCGTGTCCAGCGTTGGCATGGCCAGGAGATGGACGGGGAGCGCAACGGTGGGGCCGCTGCCCGGCATGCAAGGCTCCCTGAGCTGTCTGGTGGACCCGGAGGCTCGGCAGCTGCTTTTATACTTCCCCACCTGCCATCAGTCACTGTCACGCGGGCCAAAAATAGCAGTGCCCAGGAAGGCTCGCAGAGGGAAAACAACGTGGCGGGCGGGCTTGGGCCCGCTGCCAGCCCGGAGCTGTGGAAGGCTCCGGGGTTGTTTACCCTCCAGGGCAGGGGAGGGGCCGCCCCGCTCCTGCCACCTCAGCCCAGGGAGAGGCAGGGGGCTCCAGTGAGGAGGGACGTGTTCACTGGGACCCAGAATCAGAGGGCCCAGAATGGCTTCCCGACTTAATGGAAATGTGAGGCTGTGGGACCCACATTCAAGTCCTGCCTCAGCCTGCATGCCCTTCCCCACCTGTACGGCGAGGGCCACCCTGGAGCCTGGAGCTCCTTCTGCTCTGCCCTCAATTTCCCCTGCTTTGACCAGAGACAGCTGCAGTCTTGACAGGGCCTCCCCTCCATCCCGATGGGGCCAGGCTGAGAGACAGAGGAACAGTCGTTGGGGGGGGCAGCTTGGGGACACATCTGTGCACCATCTGTGCAAGGACATGGGGCCCGAGTCACATCAGGCCAGCAGACCCCAGCATAGCTGATCCCTGACCTCAGAGGCAGCAACTCTGCTCCTGCCCCTGGCTCCCAGTCCCAGGGCAATTCCTCCTGCCTCCTTCATTGCAAGGTCTCCAGAGCCTTCCTGTGGCATGTTTGAAGGCCCAGCCTCAGCGTGTCCAGCCCCACTGCCCCTGGCCCAGCAGCGCTATCTTCTCCTGCCCCTCAGAGCTCTAAATGATCTCCTGACTCTCGGGCCCAGGACCATGACTGCTTGATCTCCCTCCACACAGGGTCTGACGTGGGGCCGGCAGGCAGTGGGGCTCCATGAATGAACTTGCTGAGCTGTGTCGGGTGAGGCAGGGGGCTCTCTCTCGCAGAGTGTTGACGTCTTTTTTTTTTTTTTAAGATTTTTTTTTTTTAAGATTTTTTTTTTTTTAATTTATTTGACAGAGAGAGACACAGCAAGAGAGAGAACCAAGCAGGGGGAGTGGGAGAGGGAGAAGCAGGCTTCCCGCCGAGCAGGGAGCCCGATGTGGGGCTCGATCCCAGGACCTGGGATCATGACCTGAGCTGAAGGCAGGTGCTTAACAACTGAGGCACCCAGGCGCCCCGCATGTTGACCTCTGACAGAGGCATCTGAGGCCAAGACAGAAAACAAAGAACCGAACCCCACTTTGGGGTTTCTTACTGCCCTTTAACTCCAGGGAATCAATCCAGTCTTAACTTTGTAGGGAGTGTTAGTTACATGTCTGTGGCCGTGTAACCTCAGTGGTCATCAAAACGTGCTCTGCTTTTACTGTTGTCATTTTCTTTTTTAACAAACAGTACAAGGTCATTCCAGAAAGCTATGTGTATTTTTGATAACCTTGAACAGAGTGGAACTATTTTCTCTGTAGATAGCAGGGTGTTTTAAGCGATTACTAACTTACCATGAAATCAATGCTGCAGGATACCCTTCTGGGTAAGCCCTTCTGGGGATACGAAGACGTTTCTACAAGGTCCCTTATTCTCACAAGGCTTTCAAAGCCTATAAGGAGAAAGAAATGCAATTTGTAAATCTAAAGTGGTGCACAAGATAGCAATGGGAGTATAACACCCAGTGCTCAAAAAATACATACATATATACATAACAACGGGAGAATGATGTTTAACGTTCATTGCCAAAAGGCTAGTATCAAAGCAGCTTAGGAGCAGGTAGCTGGAAGGATCTGGGGAAAGTGGGGCTGAGAGCTGTTCTGAAAGCAGCCTGGCCAGGCACACGCATGGGGCGATTCGGCTGCGCGCAGAGAGCCTGGCTGTGGTCACGCATACACAAGAGCCTGAAAGAGGTCAGAAACAGAATCAGAGACTGGAGGGGGGGGAGGGGAAACTGGCTGAGGGTGCCTCTGGAGAGTTCCGTCAATTAGGACCTCAGGGCTTGGCAGGAGGGTGGTAGCTGGGCCATCTGCAGACCTTGGGAGATCAAGGCTGGTTGGGGACTCAGAACGAGAGCTGTTGTAGCTATTCGGAGTGTTCACGCGAGTCGTGGGATGTGGAGGCTGGTAACATGCAGGTGGTGAGAAAAGCAAGCCTGGCCCTCAGGAAAGAAGGCAGCTTAGAAATCGGGGTGGACCAGCCCACTTGAGTGGTTCCTGTGGCAATGGGGAGCAGTGAGGGGAGAAGGGCGAGGCTGAGACACAGCTCTGAGGAGTAGCCACCCCTGCTCTGGTGGGCATGGAACCCAGTGCCCTGAGCACATTCGCAGTGGGACCTGGTGACCGTGGGGCCCCCTCCCCAGGTACGGGAAGGCACCCTTACCTGGCACCAGTGTCCATGTGGCCTGGCTCCTCTGGAACGTGTTTCCTCACCCGTGTGGGTGTGCTTGCTGGAGAACAGCTGGGTTCCTGTGGGACGCCTGACTCAGCCGCTCCGTCCCAGGCCATGCCCCTGACCCGACGTGAACTGAGCGGTGGAAGGGCATGCCTCAGGCTTCCTCTGGTCAGCCCCATGGCCTCCCGCCTTGAGCACATAGAGGCTCGTGTGCCTTCCCCCAGGGGAGGACGGGACCCCAAGGAGGAGAGGTGTGTTTGGGGCCAGAGTGTTCAGGGGAGTGCCCTGGGGGAGGGGCTGGGCCTTAAGGGGGGCTCAGGGAGGGTGGGCAGTGACCCCTGAGAAGGGCTGCTGTGGGGAAAGAGGTTAACCTGTGTGGGTTCCCCACAGGAAGAAGGCGCTTTGATCATCGAGGGACTTCTCAACATTGCCTGGGGACTGAGGCGGCCTATCCGGCTCCAGATACAGGACGACAGGGAGCGAGTGCACCTCTCCTCAGCCTCCTGGACACCCGGACAGCCCGGCTGCCCCCTGTGAGTGCTGGGCTGGCTGAGGCAGGGCCAGGTGCCCTCCTTGACACCTGTTGAACCCGTGCTTACTGTTTGGAGTGTCCAGGGGGTGGTGTCCTCAGTCTCAGGGCAAAGCCCTGCTCCCGAATGGGGCACATGAGAGCACAAGCCCGCCCTATCCTTGTCACCCCGTGACTGCTAAGCCCGTGGCCTCACCTGCCAACAGTGGTCTTTCTAGATGATGACCGAATCATCTCACTCTTAGAGGATTTTCCAGACTCCCAACACCAGTTGTGTTTCTCATACATTCACAGGAGCTGCCTTATCTGCAAGGAAAGGAGCTGTGGCCGGGGGACTCCCAACATCCTGGGCAAAACAAACATTTCTTGGCATCTCCTGTTCTACCTTAAAAATTCACACAAATTTAACCTCCTACTGCTCTACTTTCATTTTAATATCAGAATTTGGTTTTATAAATTTATTAGAGCTTAATATCAGGTTTATTTTAGTATCAGAAATATGTTTTAATCGTGATGAAACCGTTTCCTACCTTACCGCTTAATGAACATCTGCCTCCTCCCAGCGCCTCCCCCCCAACAAAGGGCAGTGAGCTGCTGAATTTTGCTCGCTTCTGCATGTAATGAATCCTTCCAAGAGGCGAAAATGTGAAACCTTTTCCCCTTCAAAAATTCAAGCAAAGTTGCTGTTCTGAGGGCACTTAGGGCAGCTTGACACCCCCCGTGCGCCCCATACAGACTTAGAGTGTAACGTTTGGACGGGCTTCATAGAAAGGCGACGAGTGGAACTCAGGGTCCCACTCCCCAGGGGGGCAGCAGCCACAGAAGTGGCCAGACAGCAGGACCCTCAGAGGCCTCCCAGCCTGGGTTCAGCTCTTCGCCTGCCCCTCCCTGGCTCCCTCACGCTGTGGGCTACTTCCCATCACACACATCCCCTTCCCCGGCCCGGCGCCAGCTTCCCTGGCTTGGACTCCGCCCGGCCCAGAGGCCCAGAGGTTGGCCCCTCGAGGTTGCCCCTGCCTGACTCTCCATCAGGCCTGAGGGAAGCCCGGAGAGCCCGCTCAGTACTCAGCCGCACACACCGCCTCCCTCAGCCTGGTGCCCAGGAGTGCATGGGCACACGGCGTATGTCCGTGTGTCTGTGCAGCAGGGACAATGCCACTCAGGTCTGCGGGGTACACTCCCTCTCCTTCCGGCAGACACCCCGGCAATCCTTTGCTTTTCTTTCAGTGTTTTCCATTAACTCGGTGTGAAGTAGAGCCTTACCTCGGTCGGCCCTGCTTCTTGCCTGTGTCCCGTCCTCAGAGGCCACCAGCCTCTTCTCTGTGACTTGAGCTACTTTTTTCTGTCCCCGCATGAGCACCTTGACTGTCTTTTCAGAAAGGAGCCACTTCTTCAGGATGGCAGGGTCCCTGCCCAGGAGCCAAGTACTCAGACAGCACCCAGAGCCGAGAGTTCCAGACACAGCTCAGGTAAGCGGGGCCTCAAGCTACCTGGGACCCCATCTCTCTCAGCCGGGGTAAGGGGCTTGGCTCATGACCACTATCTCTGAAGAACAGCTTTGTGTTGGGGCACCTGGCTGGCTCAGATGGTTAAAGCGTCCAATGCTTGATTTCAGCTCAGGTCACGATCCTCAGGATTGTGAGATCGAGCCCCGGGCTGGACTCCCTGCTGGATGTGGAGCCTGCTTGGGATTCTTTCTCTCTCCCTCTCCCTTTGCCCCACCCCCTCTTTTTCTCTCTTCCCCTCTCTAAAAAAGAAAAAAGAAAGACCAGCTATGTGGAGGAGCGCAGAGTGGCTTTATTTGTCTTCAGGAGCAACACTTGCTAAATACCTCCTCAGTACAAGGCGTTCTCCTCAGCTGCCCCCTTACAGAAAAAGGAAGCAGAAGCTTGCAGAGGTGACATTGTTTGACGTAATTTGCCTGAGTCACCTGCTTTATAGAAAGGAGAGAACAGCAACAGCAAGCATGGCACCCTCCTGGCCCTGTGGGCCTCTAGGATGCATCTTCCTCACACTCTGGAGTCCAGACTACTCATCTGTCCTCTTTATGTCCTCCCCTCACACTCAGTGGGGGCTCAGAGGACAGGGGTGGGGCTGCCGAGGAGCTGCCCAGGGTGCCCAGAGACGGAGGCCCAGGCCGTGGCCATACGGCATGGCGACACAGGTGGTCCTGTCTGGGGCCCCCCTTTCCTGTCTGCGAAGTGGGCATCACCCAAGCTCTGTCCCGGAAACAGCCTTCACATCACCGTCTGCCTCAGTGGGGTGTGACCACAAAGCTCCAGGGAACCAAGCCCCACGTGCCGCAGCATGGCAGTTCTCTGGCCCCTTTGCTCCACCCCGGACTGACCTTCTCACCTGTTCCTCACTACAGAGCCCCTGGAGGAGGACGAGGAGACGCCCCAGCTGATGCGGACCAAGAGTGACGCAGCTTGTGTGATCCAGAGGAGGCCCCGGGCCCGCGCACCCGGCGAGGCCCAGAGGATCCGGCGACATCGCTTCTCCATCAATGGGCACTTTTACAACCACAAGGTGATGTTCCAGCCTGGCCTCCTCCCTGGGCCCCGACGTTGAGGCCACAGGAAGGCGGCCCCAAGCATGGGTGCAGCTGTTGACCTTCTGAAGGCCAGGCCCCACCAGAGTCTTGTCAGAGGTCACCCTCACCGTGGCCCTGTGTGCTGGTGTGTCATATCTGCGTCCTCACCGATAAATGGGCTCAGGAGGAGAAATAGCTTGCCCAAAGTCACATCAAAGTAACAAAAAACCCCACAACACATTCCAGCTGGTGACCCCAAAGCCTGTTGTTGGGTTTGTTTTTTTGCTTTGTTTTGTTTTTTAACACATACTCACTGTCAATCCATTTTCACAAGTTGCATGGATTTTTGGAAAGTAATGCCAAGTTTATGTCTAATTAGGCAATTTTCTCTGAGGTTTCCACCCGAGCTCGACAGATGGTTTCATGGGAACGTGATGTGCTGCTGGCCTTCTCCCTGGATAGAGCAAGCCCTAGGTTATGGTGTGCCCAGGGGCACGTGTTTCTGGGCCCCAGAGAACCCGCACTACTCCTGGTTCCCAGCACTTAGCCTTTTGTCCGAGTATGTATTGTACTGACCTGAGGAAAAGATCTCCTTCCCCAGATGACTTCAGTCCCTAAACAAACCAAACTGTAAAAGAGAAGTTGATTGTTTCTATAAATGGCAGGAGTGGCAATTTGGGTGAGGCCCTGGATGGAGTGTCCTGTAACAGGGCCACATCCTGCAGCACTGGGAAATGGAAGCAGAGGTTTCCAGTTGAAGCAGATGCCCATCTTGATAGGCGATGACTCACGGGAGGGGGAGGGGGCCTGGCAAAGGCAGCTCTCAGGGTCAGACCTGAAGAACAGTTACCCAGGTTCGGCCTGCCAGGGGCCATTCAAGTGCTCTGGGGAGTACCCTGGACTTTGGGGTGAAGAATTCAGCAAGGCAAGCAGAAGGGACCCTGCCTTACTAAGAGGGCACCCCCCCTCCCCACCGCCGCCTTCCACTCTGGGCTGGGTTTGCAGTGAATGTTCACGGGTGACACTAGGTTATCCTTGCTAAGTGCAGGGAAACCCAGGACTATTTGAGAGTAGTTTCCCTAGAGGGGGCAGGGTTGAAGTTAAGTAGAGATTAAGAATCGTTTAGATTAGCCAAAGGACCCACAATCTGACTTGGATATTCTTTAAAACTTGTTCCAAAGGGGTTTCGTCTGTAAAGTGTTCAGTAAGTATATTAGCTATGTATATGCTATTTTGAGGAATTATTCAAACATTTTAAAAGAATATTTGCATGAGTTTAGGTTCTTCGTATTTCTGTGATCCTAAAAAAGGAAGCTTTTGATCCATGACTCAAGGTAACAAATAGCGGAGCTTATCTCCAGCGCATTTACCCCCTCCTCTAAGGGAATCATTCATCTCTAAGCACATTCAACCTTACTGTAGTCATTGCAAATGCCCCAGAGACATGGAGATGTCTGAGCACTCTGTAGCCTTTTGAATGAACAGAAATGAACAATGAGGACTTTTGTCACAGCTTTTTATCCATGGGAGCCACTCTGGCAAGAAGGGCTCCTCAGCCAGCTCGACACTCAACCCACTAGCCTGTAATCCAGTCAGAGCGGCTCTTTCTCCCAGTGACAGATTTACCTACAGAAGGTGGGTTCATTCCTCCAGGCAAACTGACTGACATCCAGGATGTGAACTAGTATCTTAGGCATGTTGGACAGCTGATTCCCACCTCCTGGCTGAGTAAAGGGCTCCTTCTCCCTCTTACTTGGCAGTGCATTCGGAATCCGTGTCCTGAGAAATCAGGTAACAAGGTACTTGAATCACAGGCAACGAGTTAAAAAAAAAATACCTAGAATTGGCTTCCTGAGGTTGTTATTCTGGATTTTATTTCTTAGAACTGCGCACTATTACTTCACTCAACCATTTTCCAAAACTATTCTGATTCACAGTAGTGTTGATGTGATTTCCAGACTCAGTAAACCTTGGTACCTGTCCCATTGCTTTGTCCTGGGCTGTTAGATTCAAATGTGTTCTACCAGGGAGAAACCACTGTGGTTAGAGATGGCATAGCAGCCAGGGGGCCTTTGTTCGTACTTGGAGCTGGTCAGCATCATCTTGAAAAAAAGGCTCCAGCCAGAAGCAACACTAATAATGTCTTGTTGACAAGACCTTTCTTGTCCTTGAAACAGCCTGACTCCTCTATTCCATATTTCTTGGGGACTGAAAGCCTAGTCTGGCTTTCTGTGTAATCCAGAGTTATTCGGCATGGCGACTATGGAAGAGGCAGGTCTGGGTTTGAGTCTGACTCCGGTACTTGGGGACACTGAGCGAGTCCTTCATGTTCTTGAGCCCCAGTTATATCCTGGGGAAAGGAGAGCTAGGACCATAGAGGAGGAATGTGTAAATCTGAATTTAGTTTTGGAAAGTGAGGAAGAGCTCACCTCAGGGAAGTGAGAATCACAGGGAGATCTCAGTGCCACGGGGCTAAAGCATGGGGTTTCCAATGGCTCTGCCCTCCTAGATGGGTGACCGTGACAAGCTACTTGACCTCTCCAAGACTCTATGTCCTTTCTTAAAAGGGTACTTCAAAAAGCTGTTGGAAGGATTAAGTCAAAGATTTTAGGTGAAGTGCTTAGCAGGTCTATAACCTGGCCAGTGCTCACTGAGGACTTATTAAGCCTCAGATGATGCCCTGGTTGACTGTCTATATGGGTCTCACAGGCAAAGGCAAGATACCTGCAGGAGTATAATGCCCCCTCCCCCCAAACAGTGAAGAGCTCGTGTGGTTGGACCCCAGGGCACTGGGGAGAGAATCATTGTATCACGTGTGCAGTGAGAAGAGGAAGCAGTGGTACTGTTGAGGCTATGGGATGCCTTCAGATACTTCTAACTAGAACTATGCCAGAAGACAGTGCTTCTCAAATTGTACTATATGGAGAGCATCATCTGGTGGTTTCCTCAAAATGCAGATTCTGATTCAGGAGTCTGGGGCTGGGAACCAAGACTAAAGCGCTGAGATTGGAAGGGGAGAGGTGGGACGCTGATGCAGTGTAAACTGAGAACCTCTACTGCTGGGAGAATAGGGAGGAGCAGACAGATTCCAGAACTTTTGGTCTTAGAATCAACAGACACTTGGCAATTTGAGCCAAAGAAAGAGTGAGAAGGAGACTGGTCCCCACACGCCCTGTGAAGTACTTCCATGGGATTGGCTCCTAGGGTCAGAGAACTGACCCTGATAGCTTTGGAGGCATCTTTCTCACAGGCCTCTGTAAGACAGGAGTTGCTATGGCTTCTCCAAGTGCACCAGATGTGGGCACAGCTGTGTGCGATCTGTGTTGGACAGGCACAGGTGCTTCCAGAGCCCAGGGTCACCTGTCACCCCAGACTGTCTGGCTGACAGTGTGCCCAGATCCTGCGTGATGTCAGCTCCGTGTCCCTCTGGCCCTGCCCTGAACAGCCCACCTCCCTCTGCAGACCTCGGTGTTTACTCCTGCCTATGGGTCCGTGACCAACGTGAGGGTCAACAGCACCATGACAACTGTGCACGTGCTCACCCTGCTGCTGAACAAGTTCCGAGTAAGTCTGGCTATGAGCGGCCCTGCTCCGGGATGCTGGCAGTTTGCTGTCTTGTTGGGGAAGCTGGCAAAGGCCAGGGAAGCTGCTGGTGGTTCCTGGGTTAGAAGGTCTAGCAAAAGTTTCCTCTGCTGATGCGGCATCTCTGGGATCTTAAGCAGAGAGAGGGGAGGATCTTTGGGGACTTGTGCGCACAGCACTGGGGTGTGGTTCTTGCCAGGGATCCCTTCCTGTCTTGTCTCATAAAGCCCTGGTCTGACTTCCTGTTCCTGTCTGTACAGGTGGAAAACGGCCCCAGTGAGTTTGCGCTCTACATTGTTCACGAGTCTGGGGGTAAGTGTCTGCCTGTGCTCCCGGATCATAAAGACCAAAGTCTCTGTCCATGTGGCAAGCTCACTGACCATGCTCCTTCTCTGAGGGCCACCGTGAATGCTCTGCCAGGCCCAAACCCAGGCACAGTCGCTGCCCCTTCCAGAATCCCGCGAAACTCACAAGGGAGGCCACTGTCTTCAACCGCACTCAGTTGGGAAGGGTTGGGGGTGCATGTCAGGGGCTGTGAGCTGGAGCTGAAGCCCCTCACCCCCTGAGAACGGTTGCAGAACCCACATGTCCCTCTGTGCAGGGTTCCGCTCCATGGTAACTGAGCAGCCCGGCCTCCCCGTGTCCACCCTCCCCTCTCTCCTACTCCCTGGGCTCCCGTTCCTCTCTGACCTGTCTTTGCTGAATGCCACAATCACACATCATTCAGGGCAACCTTCTCTTCAAGGTCTGGAGAAGGTTCCCGGGCCCCCTGGACATCCATTTTCCACCACATTCCCATCCTGGAACAGAGAGGGGCAATCCTACTGCCCATGACTTTTATAAATGGCCTTCTTTTTCAGAGCGAACAAAATTAAAAGACTGTGAGTACCCACTGATTTCCAGAATCCTGCACGGGCCATGTGAAAAGATCGCCAGGATATTCCTGATGGAAGCCGACCTGGGCGAGGAAGTTCCCCACGATGTGAGTCTGGGCTGAGGCTCAGGGAGGCCTGCTCCTGAGGGAGGGGCTGGACGACAGCATGGGGGACTCCCAAGAGCTCTGAAGATGAGCTTGGCCAGAGCCGTGTGGAGTGGCGTCTCACACAGCTGTCCTAAAGGGCCCCAGGCCCAGCACAGGGATGGCTCCGGCCCTCCTTCCTCCTGTCAAGGACCACCAGCCCCAGCCACCCGCCTAGGGGAAAAAGGAAGTTGAGTCGTAAAAAACCATTGCCTGTGCCTTCCCCCGCAGGCACGTAGAAACTTTTCCTTTGTTAGAGTGTGTTCGGCTGTCATTACACTAAAGACCCACACCAGGGCCCCTTAACTAGGGCCTTCCCCGGGCCTGTGGAAGGGAAACGTGGCTAAGTCCCACAACAGCCTGCGTCCTGGGCTAGGAAGGAGCATGTTGCCGAGCTCCCTTGCACGGAAAAGGCCTCTAGGGTTTGGACCCAAGGTGAAGGCCAGTGACCCTGCACCCCTCGGACCATTCACAGACTAGCGCGGCTTCATTCCACGGTTGGAAACAATGGCGTTCCCAGCGCTCCCCTCCCCCACCCCCGAGAAGACCCAGTGTGGTTCTGCTCTCTACTGAATACTTTTCCTAATCTCCAGCTTCGGCTTTCCTCCCAGGGATAATAGGCTGTGAGGCGAGAATGGGCTTTTCTGTCCTCCGTCCTAGTACAGAGCGAGAGTTGGGCGTGGGTGGGGGGAAGGGCAGCCATTTCCTTGGCTCTAAGACATGGCTGAATCGGCTGCTTGTGGAGGCCCTGAGGAAAAGAAAACACATTTTTGGATTCTAATTTAAAGCACATTAAAATGTTCTTGGATTTTCTAGGTCGCTCAGTACATTAAATTTGAAATGCCGGTGCTGGACAGTTTTGTTGAAAAATTAAAAGAAGAGGAGGAAAGAGAAATAATCAAACTGACCACGAAGTAAGCAGCACAAAGAGCCAGTCGGGGGTCCTGAACGTCAGGGCCAGTGCGCAGGGCAGAGCCCCGGGCCGGGGCTGGGCAAGCTCTCCCCTCCTCCAGGGCACGGCGCTTGGCCCGGCTCAGGGAGGCCTGCCCCCGGTAGTGAGGGCAAGCTGGGGTGACAGCCTGCAGAAAGGTCAGGAGGCAGGGCACACCGCCCCTCTGGCTTCAGCACCTCAGCAGCACGGGAGGGGCGCCGCTGTTGCAACTGAGCTCGGGCGAGTCAGGCAGGAGCGCGGGTGGGCGCTGGACCAGGGTCATGAGCACTGCTGGTGACACAGCCCTGGAGGAGCAACCGAGGAGAGGGCCTGCTCAGGGCACATTCAGCCTGGTCTGGGCCTTTCCTGCTAGTGGGAATTCTCAGCCTGCCAAAAAGCAGTGGCTGTTGGAACCTTCTATGTCAGCTGGTCGTTTCAGGTGCAGGGGACGTGTTCAATGGAAAGGTGAGCAGGTGTCACCTCCGGGCTCCTGGGGAAGCTCCAGCCAGGCCTGGCTGGGTGAGGCTAGCCAAGCTGTACCTGCCAATGATTGGCCTGCCCCTCTGCAGAGTGAAGGACGGGGTAGGGGGAACACGTGGGGCACTCAGCCGGGGCCAGGGGCGGAGTCCCCCTCAGGAAGGGAAGGAGGCAGTCTGCTCACTGTGAGAGGGCCTGCCGTCGAGGGACTGGTTTGGTTTCCGGTTTCTGGCTGAATGAGTTTTGGAAAGCCACAGCCCTCCCTCCGGTCCCCACCCCAGCCTTCCAAATGTGCAGTGAGGCCCCATTCGGGAAGTCAGCAGAGTGTCCCCAGTCAGAGGGGACAGTCCACCATGCAGTTGGCTGTAGGGTCTGGGAGCTGGAAGGGGACCTGGGGGTCACCGGGCCAGTCCATTCGGGGCACAGAGGGGAAACCGAGGCCTGAGGCAAGGAAGGTTGTGGCACAGGTCACTGAAGAGCCTGAGCCTGAACGCAGGCTTCCCGATCCCTGCTCGGCCACCCTGTCCCCTCCAGCATGCTCCTCTCTGTACCGAAGAACCTTGGGAAGAGAAACAGCACATTCCGCATTTGAAGCTTGACAGGGTCTGCAGCCCTGACTGCTCCTCGAAGCCGCTGGTCTTGCGGGGTGCAGGCCTGGCTCTTCCCTCTCCTTGGCGGAGGAGAGATGGTGGCCGCTAATCAGCCTTGGGCCTACTGGCCCAGCCATCAATGTGCTCCCTCGCTCTGTCGCCCTCTCCTTGTGTCCTCCGGGGTCAGTGAGTCCTCTTGGCTGTGTCTCCCTCCAGGTTCCAAGCCCTGCGTCTGACGATGCTGCAGCGCCTGGAGCAGCTGGTGGAGGCCAAGTAGCCAGCCAGCGCCGGCCTCTTCGGAAGCCCCCCAACTGCCAGTGCGCACTGAGTGTGGGGGGCCGGGCCCTGACTGGTCACACGGACTGAGAGCCACCGGCTGGGGAATCAAGCCCCCGCGCTTCTACCTGTCTATCTGCCTGAGTACCATGCGCCCCGTGTCCCTGGCTCTTGGCTCCAAGCTGAGCACTCACCGGGCCCAGAGCCAGGCCTGAGGAGCCACAAATTTGCTCGGTGGGGTCTATGTGTGAGGCTTGCCTGGGCAGTAAGCAGCCCTGAAGCTGGGGCACTGGCCACATTATGTGGCTGGATGGCGCGGCCAGTCCTGTTCGTGCCACACCTCTCTTGCTCAGGAGAGCAGTACCTGATCGCGCCCATGGGGTGTGCGCCCTATCTGCTTTCCCAGTGCCTGGGCCCAGAGTTTCTGCCTGGCCAGGAACCCCTGACCTCCTCATCCACGTGAACCGTGAGATCCGTGTCCGGCCTCCCCTCATGCTGCTACTCAAGACTGTGCTGGGAAAAACAGGGGCTGCCAGCAGGTATGGGATGTGCCCTGCTTCTGGCCTTCACTTCCCCGTGGCATCCCTGGCCTCCAAGCCTTTGATGCCACCCTGTGAGCATCACGCAGCCTAGCACCCTGGCAGCAGAGGTCAGACCCAGGATAAGACCATGAGCCTCCTGTCGTCTCTCTGCAGCACTGGCTTCTAACTTTCTCTTGGGACCTGAAGAATTCTTATAAGGAGCTTGCTGCAGGTAACATGGCACTTCGATCACATAGAGGAGGAGGCCCACATGGCACTGGAAGGGTGCCAGCCCATGCGCAGCAGAGTCCGTGGCTCAGGCAGTGGCTCAGGAAGGCAATGCTCAGTCCCCATCACAGCTGTCCCTTGGATGCCCATGTGCCTCTTGCTCTTCCTGGGCTTATTCCTTCACTCTCTACACTTCCCGTCAAGGGGGCACAATGAGGAGAAATATCTATTTGAGGAGAAAGGGCTTTGAATTCCCTGCGGCCAGAACAGTTTGGATTTGTCAGCTGATGGAGAATTTCTGGAATGAACGGGAAGGCCTTTGCAAAACTATGCAACAGTTTACATTGGTTATGTGAAGTGTTTGTCCAAAACAGAGCAAGTTAAAGACCAAATTCTTTTCCCACTGGGGCCTGTGGATAGTGGATTTAATGAGAAGAACTGTAAAGTCTTCCAAATATAAAAGACAGTCCAGCTCTGCTCCATGCAATGGCTCCTTCCTGGCACCCATAAAGAGCAGAGCCTGGGAGCAGCCATGCTGTGTGGAGCCACTGTTCCAGGTGAACTTCATGCCAGGATTTCCCTGGCCTAGCTCCATTGTCACAGAGACATGCAGCAGTGCCCCAGGGAGATCCCCGGCAGTATCTGTCATCTCTGCTCTCCCTCCCTTTCCTAGTTTCCTAGGAGCTCAATAAAGGTGCACTGTATTGAACTGAAGGAGTTCGGACCAAGCCTTCTTTTTGCCTATGTGTCCACCCTGACTCCCAGCTCTAACCTGCAAAACTTTTATCCTACAACATGTGTGGCCACATTTAGCAAAAGGGCCAAAGCTGAGCCACAGCCTGCTGCTCTGGACCCCAACATGACTCCTGTCCTGAGGACTAGTGTGGGGTCTGAGGACAAAGGCAGCCAAAGGGCACAGAGGAAGAATCATTGGTGGGGTCTGTGGGCAGCCTGGAGGATGAGCAATAGGATCACCCTGATTCACAGAATCTCAGCATCAGGAGGACCATAGGAATCTTCCAGGCAGGGGCTCAGATGGGACAGCAATAGCACCTCAGAGAGGGTAGAAAACAAATCAAACAGGCTTCCCCAGGTTGTTCTACTCCCCAACCCATATTTATAAGCTCAGGTCTAGTTCAACTGCCAATCCATTATTCGGCAGTAATCTTGCCAGGCTGGTGCTCAGTCCTTTGCCAGACAAAGACAGAGCCACGGTTCACCTCAATAGGAGGTATTCAGCGTTATCCTCAATTGGAGAAGCAGGCTGGATACCTGGGAGGGTCAGGGGACCAACAGAGGATAGAGATGGTGTAGGTCCCTGGAAGGAGGCCTGAAGGCTGAGCCCAGATTGGAATAGGTGGCTTTCTAGCCTGAGAAACACCTGCCAGCTTAGGAGCAGGACGGGGCCCTGCACATGGGAAGCTATCAGATCAGGAGCCCCTCTAAAAGCACTCATTGGTTTTGTTTTACAGTTGTTTCATGTTTAGGATTTTTTTTCTTTTTTGCAACTGTTTCAATATTATTTAGGGCCTGCCTAGATAAGCATCACTTTTGAAATAGATATTATCAAAACTAACTTCTGAATATCATAGCTAAGAAAAATCACAAGTAAGTTACACAGGAAAGAGAGAAATGTACACTTCTACAGTCATCCTAGGGGTTAGTTAGCCAATCTTTTTATCAACAGTATATTTGCTTTTCAGAGGCAATTTGAAAAGCTGCTAATTCAGCTCACCGTGCCACCACAATTGCAGACTTTCTCTGCTAGGCTCTGTGGTTTTCTGCTGGTTTATGTGGGAGCTCTATTTTCCTCTCTCTACAGAGCTGACAGTATTTCTCATATGCTCCCTCACTAACTAGTATCTCAGGCAATAAAAGCATCCAAAAACAAAGTGCAGATTCCTGTGAGTCAATGTCCTCTCCTAAAACAGGACTGTCTTCCCAGGCCAGGTCTCAGGAACCAGAGAAAATAATAAACACAGGATGAAATCTACATGATTGCAAAAGAAGGACTGGACTCGGGAAAAACAGGGTGGTTTGCCCAGAACAAATTATCAGAAAGAACCAAAAAAACAGCTTGTTTTTCTCATGTGATAGCCATATGCCACCTGCAGGAATGTTTACCAGAAAATGGATTAAAGGCCTTCCCTCTGTGCTCACCCAGGATACATCTGGTCCTTTAGTCCCAGGGAAACAAAGCACAAGGCTTATCCAGCCTGACCAGGTGATTTGCGGAGGAGCCAGCAAGGCACAACGTGTGCCAGGGTGAGCAGGACGCAGGCACCCTGCAGCTGTGGAGAAGGAGTGGGATATCCTTCTCAGGTGCCCGGGTGGGCAACAGCCCCCCTGCCTCAGTCCCTCAGCCGTGATCAAGCAGGAAATGCAGTGAGAGCCAAGCCGTTTAAGTATAAAAACAGCAAATGTACACGTGCTGTGTTTCGGCCCCACAAGCTGAGACTGCCTGGAAGAAAGCCAGCTGTTGACCTGCCCCTGGACTCACAGCATGCAGGGTGGGGCATGGTCCTGGTCATGCTTTTAACAAAGATGTTTTCTGCAAACCCAGGAATGGGAATCCCCAGAGTTTCCTTTCCCATGGAACCCAAAGGAAACAGAAAGCAAAGTCTCAGGCTTGGTGGACAGAACCATTGTTCGGGGTCCCTTTGTGGGAGATGGACCACTGCTGTTACTGCACTTGGACCACACATGTGACCAGCCTCGCTCGCGTTCTTGCCAAGTGCAGCAGGGCTCCCTGCTGAGACGGGGCTTTTCCATGTCACGTGTGTACGCCCTTCTTCCTAGAATGAGCTCTTCAAATACAACCAGGCTCAAGGGCACACTGGTCCCTGCTGGGTGGTTTCCCAGAGAAGCCCCAGCCAACAAGGAGATGACAGCAGCTTGGTGGAGGTTATAGCAGTGAAGGTATTGAAAGCAGCTCAATTCTGGATATATTTTGAAGACAGAGACACCAGAATCCAGGACTGGATTGGGTTTGGGTTTTGGGTGAAAAAAGACACAACAATGACATACAGATTTTTCGCCTGAGCAACTAGAAAGAAGGAGTTGCTATCAACTGCTGGGATGAAGACTGTTGAAGGAACAGGTTGGGTGAATGTCAGAAGTTCCTTTGTGTTGGCGCAGGTGAGGTGCAGGATGTCCATCACGCATGCAAATGGCAGCTGAGTAAACAACTGGATACACAGCTCTGGGGTTCAATAATATTTGCATCCCAGGGTCGGACTAGAGTTACCAAGTCAAGAGTCTTCAGCATATACTGTTGGTATTTGAAGCTGTCAGACTGGAGCAGCTCTACAGGATAACGAGGGCACAGAGAACGCAAGAGAGGTCAGATGACCCAGCACCTGCCAGGCTGGTGGAAGAGGAGCTTGTAAGAGAGGAGAACCAGGAGAGATCATTATTAAAGAGAAACGAGGGGGGTACGCTGAAAATCAGGAGACTCTGGTTCCGAAAAGCCCCCCTCCACCTCATCCTTGATCTTTCACGTTTTAACACACTGTGGGAATTTGAGCAAACTTCTCTAAGCCTCGGTTTCCTTATCTGTAGAGTATGATCATTTCCCTCTTCCAGAGGCTTTTTGGTGAAAATTAAGGTGTTAAAGAAGCCCAAAATGGAGTCATTTGCCCCCGCCACTCACCACCCCCCCATAGGAAACCAAGACTTAGTTAGTTTCAACCCATCCCAGGAATGTGGCCTTGTAACATCTGAAATTTCCTTAGGGCACTAATGAGTTCATCCTTATGACAAAAACTGCCTTTCCCTCCCTCCCCACCAAAATGTAACAATTTTTTTTTTTGCTAATAACTCTTTGTCCCACCCTCCTTCCTATAAAAACCTTCCATTTTATGGAATATTATGCAGCCATCAAAAGGAATGAGATCTTGCCATTTGCAACGATGTGGATGGAACTGGAGGGTGTTATGCTGAGCAAAATAAGTCAATCAGAGAAAGACATGTATCATATGACCTCACTGGTATGAAGAATTCTTGATCTCAGGAAACAAACTGAGGGTTGCTGGAGTGGGGGGTGGGGTGGGAGGGAAGGGGTGGCTGGGTGATAGACACTGGGGAGGGTATGTGCTATGGTGGGCGCTGTGAATTGTGCGAGACTGTTGAATCTCAATCTGTACCTCTGAAACAAATAATGCAATATATGTTAAGGAAAAAGAAAAAAGGAAGAAGATAACAGGAGGGGAAGAATGAAGGGGGGGAGATCGGAGGGGTAGACGAACCATGAGAGACGATGGACTCTGAAAAACAAACTGAGGGTTCTAGAGGGGAGGGGGGTGGGAGGATGGGTTAGCCTGGTGGTGGGTATTGAGGAGGGCACGTTCTGCATGGAGCACTGGGTGTTATGCACAAACAAGGAATCATGGAACACTACATCAAAAACTAATGATGTAATGTATGGTGATTAACATAACAATAAAAAAATTTTTTTTAAACTTCCATTTTATACAACTCCTTGGAACATCTCCACTTCCTAGACGGGATGCTGCCCATTCATGATGGCTTAACAAAGCCAACTGAGATCTTAAAAAAAAAAAAAACTTTTTTTTAACACAGGTGACTGTATCATAACAGTTTCGGCTCTCCAGAGTACCTCTATATAATTAATAAGTGCTCAATACTTTAGAGAGAATGACGTTTGGGGTTGGGCAGGCCGGTACTGCCTTTCAAAAGCCCCGACTGACCAGGCTGCAGTCAGCTGGCCCCGGAGGCCATGGCGCGCACACAAAGGGACCGGGCCACAGGTCTTGTGATGCTGCGGAACCTCGGGATGCCCCCGGCGCGGCGGGCGAGCGAAACAAAAAGAAGAAACGAAGGGTTTCTTCTTTCCGGTGGGCCCAGCACCATAGAGGGTCGGCCCCGCCACGTTCCTAGAGCGGCCGCGCGGCGCCGACTGACGGCGAGGCCCGCACTTCCGGCGGCGCGAGGGGCGCCCAGCCAGCGAGCGAGCCAAGGCGGCGGCGGGCGGCCCGCTGCGCGGTGAGTGGGCCGGGGGTGCGCGGCCCGGTGCTCGGAGGCGGCTCGGGCGCCGGTTGGCCGTCTCGGGGCGGGGCAGACCTGCGCCCCCGCTCCCCGAGCCGCTAGGAAGGCTCGGCGCCGGGCGGGGGCGGGGGCGGAGGGAGCTGGGCGGGCCCGGCCTGCGAGGAGCGGCCGTCGGAGGCCTGGGGAGGGCGGAGGCCTGCGCGGGAGCTCCTGCGAGTCGGGCCGCAGTGCCCACGCCGGCCGTCGCCGCCTCTTTTCAGGACTAAATACTTCGAACAAATGCTTGGGTAGCACAGGGCTGTTAGGAGCGAGCTGCAGATCCTGACTCCTTTACACCTCTGACACCCCGAGGATGTCGCAGCTTTATTGTCCTCCCGATTTTATGTAGGAGAAAGCAGGTTCATTCCGGGTCCGCGTGTTCGCACGACTGCAGCTCCCATCGCTCAGGTCTACCGTAATACCCGCACCTGCCGAGAAATTATGCGGAGCCCGGGTCACGGCGCAGGACTTGGTGTTGAAAGTTGTGGCTGCACGTCAGTTCTGCCGCCGAGAGGACAGGCTCTAGGATCGAGCTGCTAGGGGTTGGGGGCCTGGCCGAAGTCCGCCTGCCTTTCCTTAGCTGTAAAATGAAGAGCATCGCGTGAAGCTGCTATGAGAATTAAATATCCTAGAACAGTGTCTGGCATACCACGAAGGCTGCCTCTTAGTATGATTCCCTCATCTGTAGTGTTCTAGGTGGATTACATAGTCTCAGAGTTTCCTACCAGGTCTGACTTACATAGTATTAAAAAATAAATGTTTTTTTCGATGTATAATTCCCGTTATAGCTGTTTTTTGAACATCAACACCACGTACCTAACAAATGTCTCCTTGAAACAGATATTCTGTAAATAGATAAATATTCTGTAATTATACTCTGCAAATATTGACTAAAGCTAATGAGCGGTGCTCTCTCGGTGATTGGTATTGTATGCAGTTTGCTCTTTCTGATACTTAACCATAATTACAACAGAGATAATTATTAAATATCCAAATAAGGTCCTCAGCACTACCAGGTTTGGAGTCTGAATTATACAAAAAGATGAAGGAAAGGCAAGAACAATGATGTAATCTGTATTTTCAGTTATTTGCTTTATAAGCTTTTATGCAGAGACTCAGGGTAATTATTCCCATTTTAAAGTCTACTTCCTGACACAGGGTGTGGAAGATAGTTTCAATAATTTAATTACTTTTTCAACCTAGCTTATCCCACATTATCACCTATTTAGAGTTTGTGGCTTGTTTGTTTATGGCCATTATTTTAAATAACCTTATAAGTAAATAAATGAAAAATTTTTTTTGAATTTTTGCAGCATTTGGGTATTTTAAAACTTCTGTTTTTGCATGTAAACTTACTTTCTCCTCCTCTTCTTGTGTTCTACTCACTACCCTTTGTTTCTACTCAGTTTCATTCCACTTTACAGTAAAAGTTCTTCTGAATTTTTTTTCTTCCCCAGAAACAATTCACTTGTTTCAAGTTTTCAGAGAATTGTCCTCTTTCTTGGGTTATTAGAATCTAGGGGAGAAAAAAAAGCATCTTTTCATTTACATTTTTCTTATCCAGTGTTACTGAATTGACTCACAGAAACTTGCCACTCCTTATAGGGTAGTTCTTACTTTCTAAACGATTAATGCTACAAAGTTAGAGCCAAGTTGTATCCATGCTGTGAAAGTAGAATGGCAAAACAAGTAAGGATAAACAAAAATAATTTAATAAAGTAGTATGATTTGTCATTCTTTCTAATTCGGATGCCTTAAATAGTCACCAGTAAGTAAGTAGAATTTTAACAGGGGAGTAAATATTAAAATGTAATGATAGTCTATTACCCAAATTTTGATTGTCTTTTCAGTTATTTCTTCTATTCCCATTAGGATATTATGTTGTCTCCACCTTTTAATCCTTCAGTTATATCATTTGATAATGCTTAATAAAAACTTATACTTCACATTATCACTTTTATCCTGTCCCAACAGACAAAAACTCCATAGGTAAATTTGGTCAAAATTTGGGTATATTTATTAAGTTGAAACCCTGGGAATTATTAGATTTATTTTGCAAGTATTTCCCCCCCAGAATTATCTTTGTTTTCATATGTATTGGATACATTTTTAATTTACACATGGATGCAGTTTCAGTGGGTTGAAGACTGAATAATATGGGTTAAAGTTGAATAATAACAATAATGAGTGATTGACTTTGGCTTTTATTTTTTTCTTCTGCACAGAAAATTGAGCTGTGTAGCTCTAGGAAGTGAAACTTCAGAAGAAGAGAGCAGACTTTTAAGAATACATTTGGCTCATAACCATGCGGCTAGGAAAACCAAAGGGAAGTATTTCTCGGAGCTCAAGCCAAGGAAAAGCCTATGAGAACCCACGCAAAACAGGCCGGCAGCGGCAAAAATGGGGAATGACTGTTCGATTTGACTCAAGCTTGAGTAGACTGAGAAGAAGCCTGGATGAGAAGCCTTATAAATGTACTGAATGTGAAAAGAGTTTCAGTCAGAGCTCAACTCTTTTTCAACACCAGAAGATTCACACTGGAAAGAAATCCCATAAATGTGCCGATTGTGGGAAAAGTTTCTTTCAGAGCTCTAACCTCATTCAGCATCGGCGGATCCATACCGGGGAAAAACCCTATAAATGTGATGAGTGTGGAGAAAGGTTTAAACAGAGCTCAAATCTCATTCAGCACCAGAGAATTCATACTGGAGAAAAACCCTATCAGTGTGATGAGTGTGGCCGATGTTTCAGCCAGAGTTCCCACCTTATTCAACATCAGAGAACCCACACAGGGGAGAAGCCCTACCAGTGCAGTGAATGTGGCAAATGCTTCAGCCAGAGCTCTCATCTTAGGCAGCACATGAAGGTGCACAAAGAAGAGAAACCTCGTAAAACCCGGGGCAAAAATATTAGGTCAAAAACTCACTTAGTGTCATCCTGGAAAGCTGGTACAGGTAGGAAGTCAGTGGCTGGTCTCCGCTAAGGAAAGGGCACTGCTTTGGCCTTTAAAAAATAAATAAATAAAAGCTATCTCTTTTAGAACTGGAGATATTTTGTAATAGAGCACTTAAATACTATATCCTTTCCTAGCATGGAGACATTGTAATGACATTGGGCTGAAAGAAACTATGAGTCCAGCTGTTCTCATCCTTTTTTTTTTTTGATGTAACTTGGAGTACAAAAAACTGAAACTATGTTTTGAGAGAATATAAGACCCTTGACCTCATGTGATACTGCTTCCTGCATCATTTTGACAAAAACAACCATGTTTTGATGACAGATGTAAAAGTGCAGGTATTCTGATGACTCCTCAGCTTTAGGACTTCCTGTGGAAGGAGTAATTAAAAGGGAGAAGAAATTAATCCCATTAGTTTGGAAGTTCTGCAACCGATGAGGAGATTTTATGTTTGTAAAGTTTTGTAGTATATTAACCATTGGTTTGTAAGTATGACTCAAGATTCAACATATTAACATGTATTCATGTTTGAAGATTTTTAATCAACAAAGCCCCATCACTCTGTTAGCTTTTTTTCCCCCCCTTCTGCTTATGGATAGTTATTAATTAAAGGAATTGAATTTCCCTCTTTTACACCAAATTCTTAGAGATTCTAGAAGCCAAAGTGAGAACTGAATTAGACCACAAGTCTCCTATTCTTAGAAGCACAGTTCTTTGAGGTGGTGTTACACTGTGTCACTTGTTTTCCAGAAGTTGGGGTGGGCTTATGTTGATCCATCCCCATTTGTATTTTGGTATTCTCTTATACTCTGACAAATTGAGCTAGCCTTTTAGATCTACATGAATAAATAATTAAACCATATACCAACACACCTCAACTTGTTAATTAGAAATCTACAATTTACGCACTTCCCTGCTTTCCCCCTTGGGGAGTTTTAGGTAACACTGGTTATCTTAAATGTTTGTCAACAGCGAAAGTCATTTAATTCAAGTGTTGGTGCATTTGTAGCTCCATGTGTAGATTTTGAAATGTACGCTAACTTTCTCTGAGTTAATACGAATTATTTATGAAGTCTAGCATACACGTTTCTTAACTTTTATCAGAACAGTGCCAAGTGTCAGACTTTCTGATCAGCCTTCAGCTCAGGTTTTAATTTCTATTGAATGCTAACATTCTTCTGATTTTTTTGTATCTTTTATAATCATACCAGTTCCTGCTGTATTAATGACAGTTATCTATAAAAATAAAACAAAATGGAATATTTTGCATACTACTACCCTCTGTTTATTTTGCTCCTGGAAAATGGTTTTAATGACATAACACCTAAAATCACGGCTTTTGGAAGAATCACTTGATTTGCCCGTTTTTTATTTCCTCAAGCTTGAACTTTGCCTCCCTCCTGGCTTTGCATTGAGTGCAAGTCATAGAAGATGGTCTCACTGACAATAGTTTCATCCAACAAAGTATCCACAAAGTGTTTTGTGAGTATGAGGTGATTGCAATTATCTTTTACAAAAGACTTGATCTTTGACCACTTAGCAAGTGTCCTATTAATCACAGCCAAGTCACTTTGTAGCAGGGACATGGCTGTAGGGCCATTTTGAGGATCTGTCATCAGTTTTATAGAAGTTTTGTGTCTGGAATAACTTCTGACTGGGACCAACACCACTTTAAGAATTTGCCAATTTTGACAGCAACCTGCAACAGAAAGACCTCTGTATATTGTTAGATTTCATAATTTATGTTTTTACCCTGAATGACTTCCATATTCTGTATAGAAGTAAAGCAAATACTCCAGGTTTTTATGTATTCCCAGTTTGTGGTGTGCATTTCTTCTCAGAGCCCTAAAACTAGGTCAGTCCATGGTAGCCTTCTGTAGTAACTAACGTGCACTGCAGCAACCTTCATCTTTTATGACCGTCTTATGAGAGGAAAATACCACAGCTGCTTTAAGTTAATGAATCAAAGGATGTGTTCCCCTACTAGAAATTGAGTTACAGGAGAATGTGAATCTGATAGGCACAGCCTCTGAATACAGTCTCCTATGAAAATACGCTGCCCCTCAGTACTCTGCTGAATTTCCATCATCACTCAGGTTTACTAAACTGAATCCTTTTATTCCTCTGGCAGCCTCCTTTCTTACACAATCTGGATGTTTTACTTGGGAAGGAAAAAAGCTCCAAGGTTGTTTTCTTTAAGTATCGCTGAAATTTCATTCACCCTACACTAATGAATAAGGGGTGTTGTTAAATTTCTTTGCCTGCCACATTCATTCATTCAGTCATTTTGTAAGTATGGTAGAAATAAAACTGACCAAGGCAGCCCTAGTTTAAGGAACTTTGGTTAAATGAGTAGTCAAGTAGAGGAACTGAGAAACCAGGAAAGCAAGTACAGGGTGCTGTGCAAGCAAGCACAGAGACGGGACCCTCTGCCCAGTGGTTCCCAATTTCAGGGTGCTTCAGAATCCCCCGGAGGGCTTGTTAACACATTTCTGGGCCCATTCCCAGAATTGCTGATTCATCAGGTCAGGGCTGTAGCCAAATAATTTACATTTCTAACAGGCTCCTAGGTGATGCTGACGTGCTGGTCCAGGACACACTTGAGAACCGCTGCTATAACCCATTACTGGAGGGTAGGGATGTGCTTGCATAAAATGGTGTCTACGTCAGATACAGAATACTATTCCTTGCTAAGGGTGGGCAGGATTTAATGATGAAGACAGCTCTGGGGTCAGCCACTTAGGTTTACATCTTAATTACCTTGCAACTGGGCAATTTGAAAAATTGCCCTTGAGTAAATTCAAGAAGATACCTATGGTTGAGTTGTGGAGGGTATTAAATGAACTAATGCAGGTAGAGAGCTTAGCATGGAGCCTGGGACATTGTTTAGAATTTACTGAGTAGGGGGCGCCTGGGTGGCTCAGTCATTAAGCGTCTGCCTTCGGCTCAGGTCATGATCCCAGAGTCCTGGGATTGAGCCCCACATCGGGCTCCCTGCTCGGCGGGAAGCCTGCTTCTCCCTCTCCTACTCCTCCTGCTTGTGTTCCCTCTCTTGCTGTGTCTCTCTCTGTCAAATAAAATAATCTTTAAAAAATAATTTAAAAAAAAAAAGAATTTACTGATTAGCTTCTTAGGTTGCCAGAGGCAGAGAAGCTAATACACAGAACCTAAAATTGTCAGTGACAAAGGTATTACTCCCATAAATTTAAAGGTGAGTTCTCTTACTTCAGTTGAGTCAAGACTCTCACAGAGAAAGGGATGCCTATAAAGGGCAAGAACCATGTAGTAAGTTTCTAAGGGAAATTTAAGAATCTATGAATTTTTTGACAGGTAATAGGAGTCCCTCTTCAAAATAGAAGCACATAACCACAAACAGTATTTATACTCCATATTAGGGAGGCAGAGTGCTTTCATTTTGTTTTGGAAATAAAAATTTGTTGAGAACTGACCATGTATAAAAGACTGGGAGAAAAAAAGGTAAGTTACATTGTTTTTTAAAGTAATATTGAAACAGGTGATGACCATGGTGGTGATTGCCATTCAAATTGGGAGAATTTACATCTAGTACAGGAAGGCAGGAAGGAAGGGATCGCGAAAGGGATGACATTTACTAGGTTAGGAAATGGAAACCCAAAAGGCTATAGAGGCCAGGCAGCTAAGCCAGAGTGACCCGCACTGTAAACTGCGTTTCAGACATTTGTTGCCATGCAGAGGTTCGGGCCCAGGCATACCAGCTCCTGATTTTCCAAGAGAAACCAAAAATCCAGATTTTAAGTCACAACCCTTCCAGTTGGCCATACTTGGACTAGAATTTTAAGGAGGTAAAGCCTCTGTGTATGACGGGGATTAGGGGGAGCAAGGAGGGGAGAGGCAGAGCTACATGACGGAGTGGAAGCTGCAACGCACAGAATGCTCAGGGAACAGCAAGTAGCTGCTTTATTGACAGTGCAGTTTCATCCAAGAGATGTGGAAGATACGGCTGGAATGGGCCTCCAGGAGAGCCTTAAAAATCACCTTAGGGGTGAAACAGTTTGTTAAGATGAGTTGCATAAAGGTTTTTAGGGCATAGTTTGGAAGGCAATGATCCCATGAAAGAGAACAACCAAGTTGCTAGAAGAGAAACTCCCCCAGAAGAGACCCACTTGGCTACTTGGACCTACAGGGCTTCACTTCCTGCCTTGGGCCTCAAGTCTCATCTCCTTTCATTCCCTGCTCCACACTAAGTGACAGCAACTCCAAACTGCTCTGTAACTTTGCTTATCCTGCTTTGACCAATACCTACTCTGAGAGACCTCCAAGAAGTCAGCCTTAAATCTTCCTTTAAACTGAATTGTAATGATCCACATTTCAGTCTCTCTAATTCTTCCTCTCTCCTACTAGACTCTGAGCTCCTGGCTTATAGTAGTCATTCAAGTCAAAGTTTTAATGAAGAATGACCAAGAGGGAAGTACAGAAAGAAGGTTAAAGAAAGAGGTAAGGAGTTAGTTCTGGGGAGTTTCTAGCCTGGCTGTCAGCTACCATACCTACCCTAGCTGGAGAGTACCACCTAGAACTTTTCTTCCCTCATCTGCCTCCTTATCCCTCTTCTTCAATCTTTCTATTCTTTTGGAGGTCCTTGCCCATTGTGTAATTCATTCTTTAGCCTTGCACAAGGTACACACTTATATTTGTTGAGTGAGTGAATGAGGAATGAATGAAAAAACAAATGTATCAAATGGCATCAACCTTTAAAGAATCAGAGATTCTCATGGTCTGAAGGGAGATGGAAGGCCACTTACCTCACCTGCCCCTAACTTGGACGATTATTTTTTAATGACCCAATTCTTCTTTTATGCTCTTTGAATTGTGAAATATACATACATAGAATCTATATCATTTTAGAAGACTGCCATTTCCAACTTTTAAATGACCTAACACTCTGTGTTTTTCACCTTAAAGCCAGATCTAGAGCATTTTAAGGACCTTGCAGACTTTAAAACAACCCCCCCCACACACACACACATTTTCTTAATATTGGTTTTGTGGCCAAGCAATACCAGACCCTCCAAAATTAGAAAGTCTGAAAAGTTTTTGAAAGAGATTTCAAATTGCTAATTTGGAAAGAATATTGTCTAGATTATTTAAAAGGTAGAGATGTGGGTCAAGGAGACCACTTGCTGTCACTGAGAGTCAAGAGGACTCTTAGAATAGTCCATGAAGGAAGAAGTTAAAGGGGGGTTCTGGAGTGGGGAATGCTGAGGAGGAGAGAAGTAAGAGGTACTGTGGTGACAGAATGGACAGGCCTGGAGACACATCAGATTTGAGGTGCAAGCAAGAGAGGAAACACAATGGTTTCCAGCCTAGGTAACAAGGAGGTTTGGGGGAGAAGTTGATGAATTTGTTTTAAGAAATGTTGATCTTGAGATGTTTGTGGTAGTATCTGGGTGAACAAGTGTAACAGGAAATTGAATATGTGTGTCTAAGCATGGAAGATATTCAAGAAGAAAATTAATACTTGCACCATCCTGTGCCAACATTAGATATTGTATTAGTATGCTTGGGCTGCCATATGAGATACTAGCCTGAGTGTATTAAACAATAGATGTTTTCTCACTATTTTGGAGGCAAGAAGCCCATGATCAAGGTCCTGGCAGGGTTGTTTTTGTTTTACTCTTCTTGCTTCCAGGCAGCCACCTTCTCACTGTGTTCTTTGATGACCTCTCCCTTATGCATGGAGAAAGAGAGATTGAGAAGAGAATGCTCCCTGGGTCTCTTCCTCTTCTTATAAGGACACTAGTCCTATTGGATTAGGGTGTCACCCTTATGACCTCATTTAACTTTAATTCCCTCCTTAAAAGCCCTTTCTACTAATAACATTCACATTGGGGGTTAGGGCTTAAACATAATGAATTTTGGGAGGACAGAGTTCAGTTCACAATAGATATTATTCCCATTGTCTGGATAAAGAAACAGACCGAGAGAGTTCAAGTAACTTACTCAAGGTCAAACAGGACAAAAAGGTCCATGGCCTTTTGGATGTCTCTTTTAAAAATCTTGTTACCCCATCCTAGATCATGTGAGATGAATGCATCTATAAAGATGGCTATCAAAAATAAAAGTAACAGTCCCCACCTCCTTGACCTCAAACAGAGAGGAGACTTGCCAGAATAGAGAATGCCAGAATGAGTGTTGACTCTACTACACACAGCTTCCAGCTTTCCTGGTTCCATGCCTGGGTCTTAGTATAGACACCCATAAATTTGGATTTATTTGCCCCTTGAGAACCAAAGGGATC